ACACACACACACACACACACACACACACACACACACACACAATGGAATACCATTCAGACTTAAAAATGAGTGAAATCATGCCATTTGCAGTAACATGGATGGACCTTAAGGGTATTATACTTAGTGAAATAAGTCAGACAGAGAAAGACAAATACTATATGATTTCACTAATATATGGAATCTAAATAGTGTAAATGAACAAACAAAATAAAACAAAAACAAACTCTTAGTTACAGAGAACAGATAAGTGGTTACCAGAGGGGAAGGGGTTTAGTAGGAGGGTGAAAAAGGTGAAGGGAGTCAACTGTATGGTGATGGATAGTAATTAGGCTTGTGGTGGTGATCATGTTGTAGTGTACACAGATGTGGAATTATAGTGCTGTATACTTGAAACTTATATAATTAAAAGAAGAATGTATACATGGTACATTTAAATGAAAATGGAAAGTTGGAGGGATTTCCCCTCTCACCCTCATCCCATGGAACCTGTGCCATATTATGTGTTTTATTGGGAAAATAGGCTGTGTGAGTGATTCTGTATAATCCTAAACATTATAGAATGAGTTGAGTCTTACCCAGGACGTAGGTTATGAATGTGGCTCAATCTTTAAGGAGCTGAAAGGCAACTAGGAAGAATGGCAAGAGAAGATTATTCTCAGAAATTAATGTGGAACATCGTAAGTTAAAACTTCCCCTGATTAGTCTACATTACATATTCTATTCCTCTTCAGAACTCCTATTGTGTAACTACATGATACAATTTAACATTTCATTATATAACTGTTAACCTCGGATGTTTTATATAACCATCTTAAACTTCTTAAAGATATAAACAGTATCTTCCTGATGGGGAAATCTATGATATTTTATATAATTTTTGAGATAAATGTAGCTGTTAGTAGATCTTTTTGGGAGGTCAAAGACATGTTTTATTTTCTCTCAGAGTCTTTATTACCTGAAGCTGACAGTAATAAACATTCATGAAGTGATAAACATTATTCACGAATGAGCGGCATTAAAGCTGTGTAAAAGATTTGGAAATACTGTGTAATTGTTGCATGCTTTAAACTACTCTAAAACTAATTCTCACCTTACATTTTTTAAATTAGGCAACAGCTCTACAACTTGGAAACCTTATTACAGGCCAACTGTGATTTTGGTAAGTTTTAAGTATGTTTAATGGCAAAAAGAAATGGTGCTCCCTTACAGTGAATTGTACATGGATCTATGATGTGTCATTGGGCTATCATAATAACATGAAGGAAATGATAGTTCAGAAGTTCAGGATACAGTTATATTTAGTGTTCAGAAAAAGTATGACACTTAAATTTTGTTTGTAGATGAAATTTATAGTATTTTTCCAAATCTGCAAGTAAAATTAAGGCTAAACATCTTTGAAGTGAATTAGTAACTTGCTTTGGGGGTGGGGAGTGGGCTGGAGAACGTAGAGAAATAGAAAGTGCTGGACCTCATGCTGTCTTTCTTGTTTTTCTTTTCTGCTTTCTCTTTTCGTTTTTTTTTAATTTTATTTATTTATTCTTATTTTTGGCTGCATTTGGTCTTTGTAGCTGCGTGCGGGCTTTCTCTAGTTGCAGTGAGCGGGAGCTACTCTTTGTTGCAATGTGCGGGCTTCTCATTGCAGAGGCTTCTCTTTGTTGTGGAGCATGGGCTCTAGGTGTACGGGCTTCAGTACTTGTGGCACTTGGACTCCGTAGTTGTGGCTTGTGGACTCTAGAGCGCAGGCTCAGTAGTTGTGGCACACGGCCCTAGTTGCTCCACGGCATGTATGATCCTCCCGGACCAGGGCTTGAACCTGTGTCCCCTGCATTGGCAGGCGGATTCTTAACCACTGCGCCACCAGGGAAGTCCCTGTTTGTTTTTAACATTTAATGGATTACTGATTTGTGGGGGAATTGGTATAGTTAAGGTAGTGAAGGGAATTGAAGGGCAGTATGTTTTAGTTCAGGCTAGCTGCTTCTCGTTTCTAACAATTCTGGTACAGTGTAGTATTTAGAATCATGACTCTGTGGTCAGCCTGGGTTCTAACCCTAGCTAATTGTGGGTCTCACACTAGGTAATAGTTCCCACCATTGAGTTCTTGTGAGGACTAAATGACATAATGTGTGTTAGGTGCTTAGCCTAGTATCTGTTATTAGTGATGCCCAGCAAGCAAAGATCACTTGGAACCCACCTTTAAAGGGTTTATTAGCTTAGGAAGCAAGGGGGAGATATACATCATGAGGAACAGTTGGGGCTTCTCAGTAAGAGGAAGTAGGGAGGGGCTTTTGACAGGGTATGCACTTGTGCTGGCTGATTTGGGGTAGAGTTTAAGGGGGCTGTGGCTTTATTCTGGATTTGATGCTGTTAAGAAGCAGGAGCAATTTGATGACTAAGTTAATTTTTATTTTTCTCCAGAAGGTGGGACACGCAGCAGGAGGCAAGGGAAGATTCTAATTTGTAATGAAGCAATAGTCATTTTAGCTGGAAGAGGAGGGTAGTCTGTTTCTGTATTTTTTTTGTTTTTGTGTGGTTGTATAGTGCCTTGTTTCTGTGTCAGACATGATTACAGAGAGGTTTTGTGTTTTTCTTGTTTCACCATAATCATGGAGTGATCTTGTATGATTATTTTTGATATTGTATGACAACTGTTTAATTTCAGTAGGGAGTGTCATGGCCTAATTGTTAGTTATCAGCTGTCAGGGCTGTTTTATTTGTTTTGTTAGTTTGTCCTCAGTAAATGTTGGATATTACTGTTTCATTATCACCTGGGTCCCTGCTTCATGCCAGGTACTGTGCAAGGTGCTGATGAATCAAAGAGGAAAATTATGCTGCTGAAGAGTTTGCAGTTGAGTAAGACAGATAAACAAGCATAGTCAGCATGGTAGATGGAAGAGTGTAGTAACAGAGGCATGCAAAAGCTGCTACAGGAGCCAAGGGCTTTATCCGTTTATGTGCCCATCACTGAGTGATGGCAGATCTGGGTCTTCAAGGATGAGGAGGAATTAGCCAGGCAAAAGATTTTGGAGAAGTTTTGGGGATAGGATGAGTTCCAGGTACAAACAACTGTATAGACAAAGACATTGAGGTATATAAAAACATAAAAGTTCAGGGAGCAGGGAGTAATAATTACGTATGGTTGGACTCAAGTGTGTGTGAGTGGTTAATTTTTGGAAGGGATGCAATCATAGGTGTCTTCGTAAGCAATGCCAAAGACCCAGAATTTTATTTTGAAACTCCTGGAGAGTGTCTATAAGATTGTAGTGGAAACAGCAAAAATACCTTTACTATATAGAGTGACTTAATTAAATTGGGTTTGTGGAAGGCATTTATTGAGCAAGATTATTCTTTGAAAAGCACTTACTGACCTAAAATTACTACAATGGACTATTTTTTGAAATGGTTACTTGTTACACTGACATTTTGGCTGGTATTATTACTTAAAAAACTTACTGACAGATTTGTTGGGCAGGTTAGCAGTATTAAAGACTATCCCTACATAAGCTTACTCCTGCCATGCAGCTGTGTCAGGGCTTTGTTAATAAACTCATGTAAACCCTTGGCCCTCAACCCTCCCCAGAAATCCCTTATTTAGGGTCACTTACTGAAGTGCATATGGTTCTTATTCTGTTGATTTTACGCCCTGGATTGCTTTCCTGTTGAGGCAGAATAGCATACACAATATGTTATTTTTTACTGATACCTGTTATTAAATATAGCTTTTGATGTTACCCCTTTTTCAGATATTGTATATTTTTTTGTCCCTAGGCATTTCATTTGGATTTTTTTTTATGCCTTCCACTGTTTTTAACTTCATTGACTGCAGATTCTTTCATCATTGCCATTTCTGGGTCTGTTTGTATTGGTTGATTTTTCTTCTAGTTTTATGATACATTTTTCTGCTCTTTTGAACATCTAGTAATTTTTTATTGTGTGATGGACATTATAGATTTTACGTTGCTGCTTTCTGAATTTTCTTGTATTCCTAAAACTAGTGTTGAATTTTGTTCTGGCTTACTGTTGAGTACTTGTAATTCATGGGATCTTTTTGAGGCTTGTTGTATATTTTGTTAGGACTTTTAAAAAGTAACCTTTAGTCTAATGTTAATTTAGCTCTAGTAAGGCTTCTGAGGATTCTTTGTGGTGTATTTTTTTTTTTCATTCTTGCTGGTGGGAACTTGAATTGTTCCCTGGTTTGAGTAAGCTTTGTTGGGAATTGTTTTCTGATATTTTTCTCTGGCCTACAGATCAGTACTTAGTCAAAGACTCAAAGGGGACCCTCTGTACATTTCTAGGGCTCCTTTTTTTTTTTTTTTTGCGGTATGCGGGCCTCTCACTGTTGTGGCCTCTCCCGTTGCGGAGCACAGGCTCCAGACGCGCAGACTCAACGGCCATGGCTCACGGGCCTAGCCGCTTCGCGGCACGTGGGATCTTCCCAGACCGGGGCACGAACCCGTGTCCCCTGCATCGGCAGGCAGAGTCTCAACCACTGCGCCACCAGGGAAGCCCTAAGGCTCTTTTTTTTGTGTAGCTTTCTTTCTTCTTTGGTACTTTTACCCTGCAAATTTAGACTACCCTAAACTCAGATCTCATGTCTCTTTGACTCAGTGATTTGGACTCTGAATTCTCTCTCCCTGTGCTGCAGCCTATAAACTGTCTCTAGGTGGGAAGCTGGTGCAATCTTACGACTTCTCTCTGGGATAGCAGTCTTGTGTTGCCTTTGTCCAATGCCTGAAAATTATTGTTTTACTTTTTTTGGTTTTCTAGTTTAAGGTGGGAGCTGGGTAATTCTGATTCCTTTTACTCCATCGTGGCTGGATGCAGCAGTTCACGGCAGTTTTTTTTTTTTTAATTAATTAATTTATTTTTGGCTGCATTGGGTCTTTGTGGGCTGCACGTGGGCTTTCTTTAGTTGTGGTGAGGAGGGTCTACTCTTCATTGTGGTGCGTGGGCTTCTCATTGTGGTGGCTTCTCTTGTGGCAGAGCATGGGCTCTAGGTGCTCGGGCTTCAGTAGTTGTGGCCTGTGGGCGCAGGCTCAGTAGTTGTGGTGCATGGGCTTAGTTACTCCACGGCATGTGGGATCTTCCCAGACCAGGACTTGAATCCGTGTCCCCTGCATTGGCAGGCAGATTTTTAAGCACTGCGCCAAACCACTGCACCACCAGGGAATCCCACAGTGGTTGTTTTTACGAGAGTACTTCATTTACGGGCTGAGAATTGTGACACTGGGGGATCATATGACTTTTGTAAGCGAAGTATAATTAAGCTATAAAAGTGCACTGCACTGTTTGGTATGTAGATATATGGACATCATCTTTATGCTTATGCTCCTGTTTTGCCAAAATAGTATCCACATTTGCTCATTTGAATACAAATTTAAAAATAAATTTTGCCTTATGTTTAATATGGGTGATAATTTGTTGCCTATAGTAAGGTTTTTCCCCCCTTCTCCTGCCTCTCCTTTACCAGCTCCTCCTCCCTCAGGTTTACTACAAATAATCAGTCTCCTCAGGTCTCAGTTTGAGTCTCCTCTCTGTACATCTTTTCCTACATGTACGATCTCATCAGTTCCTTTATTTCTAAATGATAACAACTCCAAAAGGTTTACCTACATTCCAGACCTCTCCTTTGCACTGCAGGCCTTGCATGTCAAACTGCCTGACATCTGTCCTTGGATTGCTTAGATAGTGCAAAGAGTACATCTGTGATGTCTTCCAAAGCCAGTTGACACTGCCATGTTTTCTCCACTCATTACATGGTGCTAACAGTTGCCTATATGTCATTCTTCATTCTTTAATTTCCTTTAAACTCATATCCATCAGATTCCCAGTAGGTTTATGACCAAAATATACCTTCAGCCTATCCATTTTCCTATGATCTCTTGAATTACTGCTATAGGGCTCTTAACACATCCTCCTTTGCCCCTCTATCATCTGTGTACAAAATCTGCTTTAAATGTATATCAGTTCCTGTTCCTCCTAGATCAAAACCCAATGAAAGGCCATCTACTGTATTTCAATGAAATCAAAACTCCTTATTATGACTTGTAAGGCCCCAAATGACTTATTCCTATGTCTCTCAACCCATGCCGTCTTTCCCTCACGTCAACATTTACATCAGCAAAAATTAGCAAAAATTATCTGGGTGGTTGCTATGTGCAAAACACTCATAACCACTCTAGGGCAAATGAGTAAAACAGAAAACAAAAGCAGAGAAAACATGATGAGAATTATAGGTAAGTGAGAAAGAAAGAAGACTGGCAGCATGTGACATCAGTGAAGCCAGGTGTAGTGAATGCTCCTATAAGGGCAAGTTAATTGAGCACAAGTGGTGCCCCTTAGATTGGACAACATGATTTCACTGGTGACCTTACTAAGAGCAGTATGGGGGGTGGGGGATGGTAAGCACCATATAGGAGTCAGTTGAAAAAATGAAAAGCTAGAGAATTGCTACTTATATGGCTCACAATTTTTTTGTCGCTGCCCACTGTTTATTTAAACAATGATTAACATTATCTATTTTGGTTTCAGGGAAGATATCAACCCTACATTGCAAAGCAGCCAATATTAGGCAGCAGTGCATAACATTTCTTCATTATGTTAAAGTCTTCATTTTCAGGTAGGCTGTCAGATGAGTAATATGAATAATGCATGAATTTCTGAGTGCAAATTTATCCAGACTCTAATTGCTTATTGTATCTCATCGTGTTTTAGGTCCCTGCAAGTACAAAATGCTGAAAGTCATGTTCCTGTCCATCCCTACCAGACTTTGGAGGCACAGCTTCCCTCAGTGTTGATTGATGAGCTTCATGGATTACTCTTGTATATAGGACACCTATCAGAACTTCCCATTATTAATACAGGAGCATTTGTAAATCAAAACCAGACTAAGGTTTGCTTTGTTTCATTTAATGTTTAAAGTATCAGGTATTTTTTCCTCCCCACATGGACTATTCATTCAAGAATGAGGGAAATTAGTCAAGAGTGTAGTTCTTGGACCACACTGCCTGAGTTGAAATACTGGCTCCTCCTTTTGTTAATTATGTGCCATCAGGCAAATAACACCTCTTGCTTCAGTCTTTCCATCTGTGTAATTGGTTTAGCTTCCTAGAGTTATTGGGAGAATTGAATAATTAAAATGCATAAAGTGCTTAGATGTAGTTTACGTTGAATCAGTGATAACTATTCTTCCAGTTGTAACAATGCAAATGTTTAAAAGTTTCAAAGTAAATCAAATAACCTTTGTTTTCTAAAGTTTGTATACTCTTTGCCACTGATAAAAGTTTGGGCAAACACTATTTTATATTATAGTAAGATTCAAGAAGATCATCTTTAAAAAGCTATGCTTTCAGAACCACATCATTATGTCTGTTCTGGCTTTTGAGATATTTTCAGAATATGATTAAGATTGTTTTAACTGTGCCCCCCTTTTTTTTCCTACCTGTGATGATCAGTCTCTCTGGTTTGGTTTATAAAAATGTGTTAGCATGATCCAACCTGTGGATGTAATTAACAAATTCTTCATAGGAAAATGTGAGCTGCTGTGAGTGACAAATTATAATTTCCCGTGGCATTCCCTGAATTCTCAATCTCCTCTCTTTGACTTCACCAATTTTAATAACATTCAGTTTTTAGGAACGAGTCTTTGCCAAAATATAAGATACAATTAAATGTTTCTATTTCTGTGAAATTTAACAATAATAAAAAATTGACTCTTCTTATCAGGGATCAATATATGTAATAATAAAAGTAAATAGAATTCCAACTGAATTCACAGGTGAATATATCTAATCCATAGAAACCAAATAGGTAATTGTTTTTAATCATGTCAGTTAATAAAGATTCGTGGGTGGATTGTGCTGGGAGGGATATTTTTCTTTCTTTTTAGTCTCTGTAAATTGGACTGATTTTTATTTTCTGAATATCCATCAAATGCTTAAGAAAATTAAAATTAATAATTTATCTAGCAGCAGAAATAAAAAAATGTGTGCAAGTGTCCTCAAACTAGGTTTTGCCTTTCATAGGCTTTTAATTAGACAGACTTGAAAGTATAGGTTATTTGAAGATCAGAAGACTGAATTTTTAAAGCAGGGGAATGGAGTCTTTAACACATAAACAAAAAAATCATATGCTGAAATACTGTTCTCTTCTGAAATATCAGCAAAACGAAAAAATCATAAAATAAAAAGCATCTTTCAAGACTCTATATATATTTCTTATATTTTACCATTCTCATATATGAAGGCTAATGCTTTAATTGGTATTTACAGTTGAGCATCTGTCTTTTATACTTTTTTAGGGACTTTTTAAAATTAGAGATACTATTTGTTGGTATGATGTATTACGAATATTTTCATTTATCTTTTTCTTCAGCAGTTAAGCTGACTTGCTAGGTAGATAGATGATTTAAGTTTTTTTATATAGTTATATTTATCAGTTTTTTTCTTTGGTATCATTCCTATGTTATTGTAAAAAACATACTTTTTTTTTTTACATTTATCTCTTTAATTTATCTCTTTTTAAAAAATGTACTGTGAGGTAGGAAATCTAGTTTCTTATAGATGAATAAGTTAATAATCCTGTCTCTTATTGAATGACCTATGCTTTCCCCACTGATTTGACATATCATGTGTATCCATTTCTCTCTTCCCTATTTTTGCTATTTACTATCTATTCCTGAGCCAGCACTGTTTTATTAGTGTTGTGTTTTATTTTGTTTGCATGTTTGATAAGGCAAGACCCCTCTCCATCATTCATCATAGTTGTTTTAATAAAAAGTATGTATCATTGTATTATTTTAGTGATTCGAAATGGTGACTGGAGAAAGTTAATTGATAATCTGCTAGCACAGTAAAGAGCACTGGCTTTTGAATCAGGTAGAATTAGGTTTGAATCCTAAAGCATTAATTGAGGGGTAAATTTCTTCACCACTTTTAACTTTAGTTTCTTTATGGGCATGACAGTAGTGTCTAAATGATAATCCAGAAGTTCTTGTTAAAATATCTTATGGAAGTTCCTGGGTATTCATTACATTTAAAAACATATTTCCTAGCTAAAGTCTAAAACAAAATCATGAAAATAAGTGTTTAAAGAAATTCATTTACTGCCTTGCAGCTGTAGTAGAATCTCAGTTGGTTGGTAGGGGCCTTTACTATACAAGTCTGTTCAGCAGCCCCAAGGTGGGTCTGTCTTAAACAACATCAGTTAAGAGTATATCTTGCTTTTAAAGATCTCCAGTGAAAAAATCCTCTAATGAACAAGACAGAGGTTTCTCTTGAGCTTTTAAATAGTGTTAGGTTAACTTGTGCATTATGGAGGAGTGTTGTGACATGCTATAAAATACCTAATAAAGTGTTATGAATTTTCAGTCACAGTTTTTAATGTCATTCACAGCTTTTCCCACCATCATGGCATTTGTTACATCTCCACTTAGATATCCATTGGCTAGTGCTGGAAATTCTTCACATGCTTGGTGAAAAATTGAGTAAGTTTATGGATTTCTGATTTATGTCCTTTTTTAATGTAAATGTTTTTTAATCTAAATTGTTTTTTAAAATTATACAATAAGTGCTTTCTGATTATTATTATTTTTTTAATCAAACAGTAACCAAACTAAAAAGTGAAGGTCTTACTTCTTTTTTCTAGAGATAACTACTGGCAACGGCTTGGTCCATTTATCCATCCATCCATACTTACTATCTATTAGTATACATATATGGAAACTCATAGGTAGGGTTTTTGTTTTTCTTTCTAACCACAAATGGTATCATCATATTGTCCTATGTAGGGTTTCATTTAACAGTTTTTTAGAGATCTGTTCATGTTAGTTCATACAGTTTTATGGACCTATCATAATTTATTTAGCCAAGTCTATTTTTTGATATTTCAGTTAATTCTGTTTATTTTGGTATTACAAATAATATTTCATTGAACATCCTTATGTAGATATAAGATATACATCTTTGAATACTTGTACAAGTTATTTAATAGATTAGGTTTTTGGAATTGATGTGGCACATTGCACTTTTAGTATTTTATATGCTTCTCTGGTGTTGTATATTAAGTTTCCACAATTTATGTACACTAACTGTGAACATGCCTTTGCCTCATACTCTTGCCAGTAGTGGATATTATTAATTGTATTTTTTGCCAACTAATGCGTGAAAAATGATACTGAGTCTCTGTTTTTGCAATTTCCCGATTACCAGTGAAGTGAAGCATCTTTAATTTTATTGTCTTTTTATATTTGCTTTATTAATTACCTGTTCATTATACTTTGCAAAGTACTTGTTTTATCTCTTGTTTCATTCTTTCCCGCCTTTCTTTAATTAATTAGTAGAGGTTTGTATATATTATGGATGGTAATCTTATTTCACATGTTGCCTATTTATTTCTTGGTCTTGCTCTTTGACACCTTTAGTTTCCGTTATCAAATTGGCAGTTTTCTATAAATATTATATAGTTGTAAATTATTATTTTTTTAAGCACTTGAGCATTTTTAATGTTCAGAACAGTCTTTGTGATTAACACAATGATGTGTACATTATAACGTAACACTTACTGTCTTAAAGTGTCAGGACTAACTACAGAGAGGCTTACTACTTGACTTCGTTACAAATTAAAAGGATTTCTTTTTTTTTTTTTTAACATGTTTATTGGAGTATAATTGCTTTACAGTGGTGTGTTAGTTTCTGCTTTATAACAAACTGAATCAGCTATACATATACATATATCCCCATATCTCCTCCCTCTTGGGTCTCCCTCCCATCCTCCCTATCCCACCCCTCTAGGTGGTCACAAAGCACAGAGCTGATCTCCCTGTGCTGTGCGGCTGCTTCCCACTAGCTATCTATTTTATATTTGGCAGTGCATATATGTCCATGCCACTCTCTCATTTCGTCCCAGCTTACCCTTCCCCCTCCCCACGTCCTCAAGTCTGTTCTCCACGTATGCGTCTTTATTCCTGTCCTGCCTCTAGGTTCTTCAGAACCTTTTTTTTTCTTTTTTAGATAACATATATGTGTTAACATACGGTATTTGTTTTTCTCTTTCTTACTTCACTCTGTATCCATTCACCTTTCTACAAATAACTCAGTTTCCTTTCTTTTTATGGCTGAGTAATACTCCACTGTATATAAGTGCCACATCTTCTTTATCCTTTCATCTGTCGATGGACACTTAGGTGGCTTCCATGTCCTGGCTATTGTAAATAGTCCTGCAATGAACACTGTAGTACATGACTCGTTTTGAATTATGGTTTTCTCAGGGTATATGCCCAGTAGTGGGATTGCTGGGTCGTACGGTAGTTCTATTTTTAGTTTTTTAAGGAACCTCCATACTGTTCTCCGTAGTGGCTGTACCAATTTACATTCCCACCAACAGTGTAAGAGGGTTCCCTTTTCTCCACACCCTCTCCAGCATTTATTGTTTGTAGATTTTTTTAATGATGACCATTCTGACTGGTGTGAGGTGATACCTCATTGTAGTTTTGATTTGCATTTCTCTAATGATTAATGATGTTGAGCATCCTTTCACGTGTTTGTTGGCAATCTGTATATCTTCTTTGGAGAAATATCTATTTAGGTCTTCTGCCCATTTTTGGATTGGGTTGTTTGTTTTTTTGATATTGAGCTGCATGAGCTGCTTGTATATTTTGGAGATTAACCCTTCATCAGTTGCTTTGTTTGCAAATATTTTCTCCCATTCTGAGGGTTGTCTTTTTGTCTTGTTTATGGTTTCCTTTGCTGTGCAAAAGCTTTTAAGTTTCATTAGGTCCCATTTGTTTATATTCGTTTTATATCCATTTCTCTAGGAGGTGAGTAAAAAAGGATCTTGCTGTGATTTATGTCATAGAGTGTTCTGCCTATGTTTTCCTCGAAGAGTGTTATTATGGTGTCTGGCCTTACATTTAGGCCTTTAATCCATTTTGAGTTTATTTTTGTGTATGGTGTTAGAGAGTGTTCTACTTTCATTCTTTTACACGTAGCTGTCCATTTTTCCCAGCACCAGTTATTGAAGAGGCTGTCTTTTCTCCATTGTATATTCTTGCCTCCTTTATCAAAAATAAGATGAACATATGTATGTGGGTTTATCTCTGGGCTTTGTATCCTGTTCCATTGATCTGTATTTCTGTTTTTGTGCCAGTACCTCACTGTCTTGATTACTGTAGCTTTCTAGTATAGTCTAAAGTCTGGGAGCCTGATTCCTCCAGCTCCGTTTTTCTTTCTCAAGATTGTGTTGGCTATTTGGGGTCTTTTTTTGTGTTTCCATACAAATTGTGAAATTTTTGTTCTAGTTCTGTGAAAAATGCCATTGGTAGTTTGATAGGGATTGCATTGAATCTGTCAATTGCTTTGGGTAGTATAGTCATTTTCACCATGTTGATTCTTCCAATCCAAGAACATGGTATATCTCCCCATCTGTTTGCATCATCTTTAACTTCTCTCATCAGTGTTTTATAATTTTCTGCATACAGATCTTTTGTCTCCTTAGGTAGGTTTATTACTAGGTATTTTATTCTTTTTGTTGCAGTGTTAAATAGGAGTGTTTCCTTAATTTCTCTTTCAGATTTTTCATCATTAGTGTATAGGAATGCCAGAGATTTCTGTGCATTAATTTTGTATCCTGCTACTTTACCAAATTCATTGATTAGCTCTAGTAGTTTTCTGGTAGCATCTTTAGGTTTCTCTATGTATAGTATCATGTCATCTGCAAACTGTGACAGCTTTACTTCTTCTTTTCTGATTTGGATTCCTTTTATTTCTTTCTTTTTCTTCTCTGATTGCTGTGGCTAAAAGTTCCAAAACTATGTTGAATAATAGTGGTGAGAGTGGACAACCTTGTCTTGTTCCTGATCTTAGAGGAAATGGTTTCAGTTTTTCACGATTGAGAACAATGTTGGCTGTGGGTTTGTCATATAAGGCCTTTATTATGTTGAGGTAAGTTCCCTCTATGCCTCCTTTCTGGAGGGTTTTTATCATAAATTGATGTTGAATTTTGTTGAAAGCTTTTTCTGCATCTATTGAGGTGATCATATGGTTTTTCTCCTTCAATTTGTTAATATGGTGTATCACGTTGATTGATTTGCATATATTGAAGAATCCTTGCATTCCTGGAATAAACCCCACTTGATCATGGTGTATGATCCTTTTAATGTGCTGCTGGATTCTGTTTGCTAGTATTTTGTTGAGGATTTTTGCATCTATGTTCATCAGTGATATTGGCCTGTATTTTTCTTTTTTTGTGACATCTTTGTCTGGTTTTGGTATCAGGGTGATGGTGGCCTCATAGAATGAGTTTGGGAGTGTTCCTCTCTCTGCTATATTTTGGAAGAGTTCAAGAAGGATAGGTGTTAGCTCTTCTCTAAATGTTTGATAGAATTCGCCTGTGAAGTCATCTGGTCCTGGGCTTTTGTTTGTTGGAAGATTTTTAATCACAGTTTCAATTTCTATGCTTGTGATTGTGTTTCAATTTTTGTGCTTCTGATTGGTCTCTTTATATTTTCCATTTCTTCCTGGTTCAGTCTTGGGAGGTTGTGCTTTTCTAAAAATTTGTCCGTTTCTTCCAGGTTGTCCATTTTACTGGCATATAGTTGCTTGTAGTAATCTCTCGTGATCTTTTGTATTTCAGCAGTGTCAGTTGTTACTTCTTATTCATTTCTAATTCTGTTGACTTGAGTCTTCTCCCTTTTTTTCTTGATGAGTCTGCCTAATGGTTTATCAATGTTGTTTATCTTCTCAAAGTACCAGCTTTTAGTTTTATTGATCTTTGCTATTGTTTCTTTCATTTATTTTTCATTTATTTCTATTCTGATCTTTATGATTTCTTTCCTTTTGCTAACTTTGGGGTTTGTTTTGTTCTTCTCTTTCTAATTGCTGTAGGTGTACGGTTAGGTTGTTTACTTGAGATGTTTCTTGTTTCTTGAAGTAGGATTTTATTGCTATAAACTTCCCTCTTAGAACTGCTTTTGCTGTATCCCATAGGTTTTGGGTCATCGTGGTTTCTTTGTCATTTGTTTCTAAGTATTTTTTGATTTCCTCTTTGGTTTCTTAGTGATCACTTGGTCATTTAGTAGTGTATTGTTTAGCCTCCATGTGTTTTTACTTTTTACAGCTTTTTTTCTGTAATTGATATCTAGTCTCATAGTGTTGTTGACAGAAAAGATACGTGGTACAATTTCAGTTTTCTTAAATTTACCAAGACTTGATTTGTGACCCAAGATATGATCTATCCTGGAGAATGTTCCTTGAGCACTTGACAAGAAAGTATATTCTGTTGTTTTTGGATGGAATGTCCTATAAATATCAGTTATGTCCATCTTGTTTATTGCATCATTTAAAGCTTGTGTTTCTTTATTTTCATTTTGAATGATCTGTCCATTGGTTAAAGTGGGGTGTTAAAGTTAAAGTTAAAGTCCCCCACTGTTATTGTGTTCCTGTCGATTTCCCTTTTTATGGCTGTTAGCATTTTGCCTTATGTATTGAAGTGCTCCTATGTTGGGTGCATAAATATTTACAATTGTTATATCTTCTTCTTGGATTGATCCCTTCATCATTATATAGTGTCTTTCTTTGTCTCTTGTAATAGTCTTTTTTTTTAAGTCTATTTTGTCTGATATGAGAATTGCTACTCCAGTTCTCCATTTGCATGGAATGTCTTTTTCCATCCCCTCACTTTCAGTCTGTATGTGTCCCTAGGTCTGAAGTGGGTCTCTTGTAGACAGCATATATACAGGTCTTGTTTTTGTATCCATTCAGCCAGTCTATGTCTTTTGGTTGGAGCATTCAATCCATTTACATCTAAGGTAGTTATCGATATGTATGTTCCTCTTACCATTTTCTTAATTGTTTTGGGTTTGTTGTAGGTCTTTTCCTTCTCTTGTGTTTCCTGCCTAGAGAAGTTCGTTTAGCATTTGTTGTAAAGCTGATTTGGTGGTGCTGAATTCTCTTAGCTTTTACCTGTCTGTAAAGGTTTTAATTTCTCTGTCGAATCTGAATGTGATCCTTGCTGGGTAGAGTAATCTTGGTTTTAGGTTTTTCCCTTTAATCACTTTAAATATGTCCTGCTACTCCCTTCTGGCTTGCAGAGTTTTCTGCTGAAAGATCAGCTGTTAGCCTTATGGGGTTCTCTTGTATGTTAATGGTTGCTTTTCCCTTGTATTTTTAATATTTTTTCTTTGTATTAGTTTGATTAATGTGTATCTTGGCATGTTTCTCCTTGGATTTATCCTGTGTGGGACTCTGTGCCTCCTGGACTTGCTTGACTATTTCTTTTCCCATATTAGGGAAGTTTTCAACTACAATCTCTTCAAGTATTTTCTCAGTCCCTTTCTTTTTCTCTTTTTCTGGGACCCCTATAATTCAAATGTTGCTGCGTTTAATGTTATCCCAGAGGTCTCTGAGACTGTCCTCAATTCTTTTCATTCTTTTTTCTTTATTCTTCTCTACAGTAGTTATTTCCAGTATTTTATCTTCCAGGTGACTTATCTGTTCCTCTGCCTCAGTTATTCTGCTATTAATACCTTCTAGAGAATTTTTAATTTCATTTATTGTGTTGTTCATCATTGTTTGTTTGCTCTTTAGTTCTTCTAGGTCCTTCTTAAACGTTTCTTGTATTTTCTCCATTCTGTTTCCAAGATTTTGTGTCATCTTGACTGTCATTACTCTGAATTCTTTTTCAGGTAGACTGCCTATTTCCTCTTCATCTGTTTGATATGGTGGGTTTTTACCTTGCTCCTTCACGTGCTGCATATTTCTCTGTCTTCTCATTTTGCTTAACTTACTGTGTTTGGGGTCTCCTTTTCGCAGTCTGCAGTTCATAGTTCCTGTTGTTTTTGGAGTCTGCCCCCACTGGCTAAGGTTGGTTCAGTGGATTGTGTACGCTTCCTGTTGGAGGGGACTAGTGCCTGTGTTCTGGTGGATGAAGCTGGATCTTATCTTTGTGGTGGGCAGATCTGCATCCAGTGGTGTGTTTTGGGGTGTCTGTGACCTTATTATGATTTTAGGCAGCCTCTCTGCTAATGGGTGGGGTTGTGTTCCTGTCCTGCTAGTTGTTTGACATAAGATATCCAGCACTGTAGCTTGCTGGTCGTTGAGTGGAACTGGGTCTTAGCTTTGACATGGAGATCTCTGGGAGAGCTTTCACTGTTTGACATTATGTGGAGCCGGGAGGTCTCTGGTGGACCAGTGTCCTGAACTCGGCTCTCCCACCTCAGAGGCACAGGCCTGACACCCATCCGGCACACAAAGACTCTGTCAGGCACACTGCTCAGAGGAAAAGGGAGAAAAATAGAAAGAAATAAAGAAAAGAAAAGAAAGTTCTTAAAATAAAGAATTAAAAAATGATTTAAAAAATTAGAAGTATTAAAACGAAGAAAGAAAGGAGGGAGCAACCAAACCAAAAAGCAAATCCACCAGTGATAATAAGAGCTACAAAGTATACCAAAAGAAAAAGAAAAAAACGGACAGACAGAACCCTAGGACAAATGGTGAAAGCAAAGCTGTACAGACAGAATCACACAAAGAAGCATGCACATACATGCTCTCAAAAAGAGAAGAAGGAAAGAAATATATGTATCTATATATTAAAAAAAGTAAAAAGGAAGAGAGCAATCAAATCAATAAACAAATCTACCAATGATAATAAACTCTAAAGATTAAACTAAGATAAACATAAAACCAGAAACAAATTAGACGAGAAAGCAAACTCTAGGTCTACAGTTGCTCCCAAAGTGCACCGCCTCAATTTTGGGATGATTTGTTGTCTATTCACTTATTCCACAGATGCAGGATACATCAAGTTGATTGTGGAGATTAATCTGCTGCCCTGAGGCTGCTGAGAGTAGTTTCCCTTTCTCATTTTTGTTCACACGGCTCCTGGGGTTCAGCTTTGGATTTGGACCCACCTCTGTGTGTAGGTCGCCTGAGGGCGTCTGTTCTTTGCTCAGACATTACGGGGTTAAAGGAGCAGCTGACTAGGGGGCTCTGGCTCACTCAGGCTGCGGGGAGGTTAAGGAATGCGGGGGAGCCTGTGGCAGCAGAGGCCAGCATGACATTGCACCAGCCTGAGGCATACCATGTGTTCTCCCGTGGGAGTTGTCCCTGGATCACGGAACCCTGGCAGTGGCAGGCTGCACAGGCTCCTGGGAGGGGAGGTGTGAATAGTGACCTGTGCTTGCACAGAAGTTTCTTGGTGGCTACAGCAGCATCTTTAGCATTTCATGGCTGTCTCTGGTGTCTGCGCTGGTAGCCGTGGCACATGCCCGTCTCAGGAGCTCGTTTAGGCCGTGCTCTGAATCCCCTCTCCTCACACACCCTGAAACAATGGTCTCTTGCCTCTTAGGCAGGTCCAGAGTTTTTACTGAACTCCCTCCTGGCTAGCTGTGGCGCACTAGCCCCCTTCAGGCTTTGTTCATGCAGCCAATCCCAGTCCTCTCCCTGGGATCTAACCTCCGAAGCCTGAGCCTCAGCTCCCAGCCCTCACCCGTCCTGGCGGGTGACCATACAAGTCTCTCGGGCTGGTTAGTGCTGATTGGCACCGATCCTTTTTGCAGGAATCTCCTCGCTTTGCCCTCCGCACCCCTGTTGCTGTGCTCTCCTCCGCGGCTCCGAAGCTTTCCCCCTCCGCCACCCGCAGTCTCCGCCCGTGAAGGGGCTTCCTAGTGTGTGGAAACCTTTCCTCCTTCACAGCTCCCTTCCACTGGTGTAGGTCCCGTCCCTATTCTTTTGTCTCTGTTTATTCTTTTTTCTTTTGCCCTACCCAGGTACATGGGGATTTTCTTGCCTTTTGGGAAGTCTGAGGTCTTCTGCCAGCGTTCAGTAGGTGTTCTGTGGGAGTCGTTCCACGTGTAGATGTATTTCTGATGTATTTGTGGGGAGGAAGGTGATCTCCATGTCCTACTCCTCCGCCATCTTAAGGTCTCCTGTAGTTGTAAATTATTAATTATTTAGGTAATAAACATATCCTTTACCTCAATACCTACTTTTCAATGCATTAATAATACGAAAATACATATATGTGTATGTGTATATGTGTAAGCACTTATATACATACATGTGAACATATAAAGGTGTACACAAACATATGATTTCCTCTCTCATGTGGACTGTATTTCAAATAATATATTCTTAGAGCAATACTCAGATGAAATTACTCTGACAGGTTCAAATTTTGGTATCCGTTACCTTGGTTTACTCTATTTCATGCCAAAAAACAATTGTACATGGTTATTTTTTCAGTATTTGTTAAAGGAATAATGTTTTAAAGGCTTTATTGGTTAGAAATATGGGTAAAGATTTTCTGGTGTTTCCTGTCTTGTATTTTTTTCTTTGAAGTGATGTTGCATTGTTGCTCTTCAGGTGGCCAAATTAAGAAAATCTATTAAATGGTACTTGGGAGGATTGAAACTTTTTTAAGCTAATGTCTATCACTGCTCGTATAAGAAAGGAATTGTTTTCAAAGTTTTATTTGCAAAACATTTGCTTTTAACTGTTATTTTGCAGTTTTGTTATGTTAATTTAAAGGTATACAGTCACTTTCCTCCTTCTGAATTACTAAAATCTACTGTAGTTTTAAACAGAATTTATCTTATTCCATTTTTAGAACAAGTTATATATAGTCATCAGTTTATGAATCTGGCAGGTGACAATTTAACCAATGTCAGCCTATTTGAAGAACATTGTGAAAATCTTCTTTGTGATTTAATAAGCCTGTCCCTCAACAGGTATGATAAGGTAATGTTTTAAGAGTTCATTTGCACTTTTGGTATTTAATGGCAATAGTCAGTACTTAATGCATGTGGTTTGACCCATAAGAATCTAAAATGGCTTACTTGTTAATTCTTCTAATTTTATATTTATTTTTATTTGGGAGGTGGTTGGGAAAAGAATTTGAGGTAAACATTTAAAACAGGCTGGAATTAGTGTTTTAGAGCTGTTTTAAAAAAAATAGCCTTTTCCATTTGTCAAAAATAAATAAAAACAGAATGTTCATGATAATGATTGGAAATTTAATTTCTGTTCAAATAGATACCAGCCCTTTAATAATCTATTGTTTTGTTGTTATATAATAAAATAAATGAGTACTTAGCTAAAGTTAGTTGACATATTTAAAGAGAGGTTTTGTTTGGTTGTCTTCATAAAAGGTCTAGAATCTTGGGGGAAATTACATGTTTTTACTAAATTGCTTATCATAGTGTTTAATGCAGACAGTGATTTGAAAGTGCTATGGTATTCATTTATTTTCAAGCAATGGAAATTTGTTGACAATAATCACTTATTTCAGGTTACAAGCATAAATGTTACCTATGGGAAATTGGGATTTATAATTTTTTTAAATTTAGATTGTGTTTTATGTATTTATTTTTAATATTGTTTAAATCTAGTCTATGTATTTACAACTAATATAATTAGTAGATTGACCAGATATGATATAGTAATGTCTTTACTGTTGTTGTTTTTTTTTACTGTGTATTATGTTAGAAAAGTGTATGTAGTATGTGAAATAATGAACACATTATGAATTTCAGAAGTCTGGCTATACTTACAGTGCATATTCTCTATTATTTGGGGCCATTGAGGGTATATTTGTTACAAAAATGGTAAAGTTGCCTAACCTTTATAAATTCCTAATAATTGTACTTGTTCTTACAAAAAAATTTAGTCTGCATTACAGAGAATCAAAATTTATTTTCTAATCATTTTCTTAGAAGTCTTTTTATTTGGCTGATAGATTAGATCAAGGTTTAGAAACCATGGCCCTGCAGCCAAATCTAGCACACCACCTGTTTTTATACGTAAAATTTTACTGGAACACAGTCCCATCCTTTTTATCCATTATCTGTGACTGATGTAGAACAATGGCAGAGTTGAATAGTTGTTACAAAGACTATTTCACTATTAAAGCCTCAAATATTTACTATCTAGCCCTTTACAGAACAACTTTGCTGACCATTGGGCTAGATGATTAAAGCAGAGGTTTTTTTTAAGTTGAAAATAAAATTCATTGTGTACTTTTGTTTTTTAAATGGAAATTTATTTTAAAAGTTAATGAAATGGTATGTTTTTTTATAAACAATTTTATGTAATTGAGCATAAATTTTAAGTCATCTAAATCATTCTTTTAAAACATTTGGGGAGATATGTGGCATGTAAAGTTCTGCTGTCTTATAAGTTACTCTTTTTGGGTCTTTCCTGCAGGTTAGGCCTTCTGAAGCATTAATGAGTCACCATTGCCCCTGTCCATGCATTAAAGAATTATGGGTTCTACTCATTCATCTCCTCAACCACAGGAGTAAATGGTCTCTCTCAGAAGTAAGTTATAAAATTGATGTTAGTTATTGGTACTAGCTCTTACACTGAATTCATGCAGTGGTTTTGTCAAAGAAAAATCTTACGAAGTCTTTCTTTATAATAAGACAACCACCACCACCAAACAGAGCATTAACTGAATACTAAATACCTACTATTTTTTTAACCCTAAATTGGTAATATGAAACAGCTAGGGGAAGTACAAGATTTGACTGTTTTATTTTCTCAAGTTCTTTTTTTTTTCTGTCAAGAATCTTTTAGACCATACTTAAAAACCCTCTAGTAATCAGGAAATATTTTAGTTAGGAAATGAGGTAGATTTAGATTTGTGGAGAAATAAAGCACAGGTTTTTATTAATCCATTTTATAGTATCTTATTTCAAGGAGAGAGAAAGATAAACACAAAGGGGAAGGTGGGAAATTTTACTTCACCTCATTTTGATCAAGTCTTCAGAATGGGGCTTTTATTTTATTTCAAGTGTTCTGGATTAGTAGAAAAAGAGAAATATTCATATGCAGAAGTAAATACAAATAATTCACTGTGAAATGATACTTAAAATGGTTTATATGTTCTTATCCAGTTAGGAGTTTAAAATAATTTCTTCCTATATACATTTTCAAGAATTTATCCATAAATTAAAAAAACTTCTCTGTAGCTCTTCAGGTCGAAAGCTCAATTCTAATATTTTAAAAATTTCTTTAAAGACACTACAAATTCAGGGAAATGTAAACGGATAGAACAATGAGTTACCACTCCTATTAGAATGACCAAAATTGGGAACACTGACAACTCTAAATGCTGATGAGAATGTGGAGCAACAGGAACTCTCATTCATTGCTGGTGGGAATGCAGAATGGTACAGCCACTTTGGAAGACATTTTGCTTGTTTCTTACAAAACTAAACATAGTTTTAGCATATGGATCCAGCAATTGTGCTGGTATTTACACAGTGAAAACTCATGTCAACACAAAAACCTGCACATGCATGTTTATAGCAGCTTTATTCATAATTGCCAAAACTTGGAAGCAACCAAGATATCCTTCAGTAGGTAAATGGATAAACTGTGGTATATCCAGACAATGAAATATTATTCATCACTAAAAAGAATGAGCTATCAAGCCATAAAAAGACATGGAGGAACCTTAAATGCATATAACCAAGTGAAAGAAACCAATCTAAAAGGCTACACACTGTATGATTCCAACTATATGACATTCTGTGAAAGCTAAAGCTATGAAAACAGTAAAAAGATTAGTGGTTTCTGAGGGTGGGCAGAACACAGGGCACTTTTAGGACAGTGAAAATTATCTGTATAATTTTAATAATAACTTTTTGGAGGTTTATAATACTATATTTATTTTGAGTTATTTTAGTAGTAAATTTACTAGGTATAAGTAAAATAAAATAAATTTACTATGTATAAATTTAACGCATTTTTACTTATTGAGTAAGAAAGTTGTTTTTCCGTGACATTTTGGTTTGTCAGTAGCATTAAGCTTTCCACAGTGAGACTTAAATATTACACAGTCTCAGCAATATTTTCCTTTGATTATTTTCCAGGATGTTTTATTTCATTTATGTGGTAAACATAGATTTTTCCATTTTCTGCAGTTTATCTTTAAGAATTTTATATTTTTTAGAATTGTTCTTATTTTATAAATTTTAGACTTGAAAGTGTAAACTACATAGAATTAATTAAGGCATGTTCATACTTGTTGCCCTGAGTCTTTTTCTAGATTTTAAGCAGAAAAGTAGACATAATTTAAAATACTATATTATAGAAATTTGCATAGTAATATGTATTGTTTAACCTAAATGACTGTTATGCTTTTCATTTTATGTAGTAACCAGAGTTATTTGTCTTAAAATAATGGAAATCATAGGTCATTTCATTTTTTAAAACACAACTAAAATATATTATTCACAGATTTTGAAAGCTATTTTATTTTGAAAGTTAAATTAGAAGTTTCCATTCCTGACAGTAAGACAGTTTGACCTTTCTGCTAAAAAAATAATCATGCTGCATATCATATAATATCATATAATAAGCATTTTAGATGTGTCAGTGAACTTGTTGAAAGTAAGAAGTATTGAGGCCAAATACTAAATGTAGGTAGGAATTCAGGTCAGCTGAACCTTGAAGCTTAGAGGCAGTTGCTGAATTATATAAACTTGGAAAATTAGCTTTCATATATTATAAGGTCCAAGAATAGAAGACAAAGCTCAGAATCAACTCAAGTTGGTAACCTACTATACACCAACTACCCATAAATCTGGGCCCCCAAAAGAATGAACTAGAAACTCAACTAAATTTGTAAGGAAAATTGCCTGTCTTTAACTGTGTTTCTTTGCAGTTTAAAATAGCTTCAGTGTATTTATCATAAGCCAGCACTCATACAGTTTTATAGCCTGAGTTCATGTTGCTTAGGTTGTACTAAAAATTTCAAGCCAGTGACTTCTAAGTAGCCTTGGACAATGGATGGACGCTTAAACCCACATCTTCTCGTGTAACCTTCCCCAAAATATAAAATAGCAAGAACAAATAAAACTGCACAGAAAACATGTTGATAGCATACCTGCAAGATAAGAATGTTCAAAGCTGTAAATTAAAAGTAAAAGCTACCAAAGCACTACCACACCTTTCTGTCAAGCAAGGGCAGGCAGTCTGAGAAAAACTGCTCTGAGGAGAGAGGAACAGAGAGTTAGCAGCAGCCAAAAATTGGTCTAAAACCATTTCAAGAATGTGAAAAATACTGGAAAGGTTTTTTGTAGATCAGAAGAATAGGAACATAAAAGTGTGTGCAAAGCATGAGGCAGTCTTTGAAGGTAGAGCTTCTGGAGAATAAAAAGGCAAAAAGGGAGTGGTTCCCCCTTGGTGATTAGGTGGTGAAGGGGATAGGAAGTAAAAGCATAGAACAATGTCTCTTGTAAAATAAATTAAAAAAAAAAACAACAAAGGATTCATACCTACTTCACACCACCACCACCACCAAAAAAAAAGAAATCTAGTAAAGAAATGGGACTTTGGTACATTGACAAAAGAGGGCTTCACTGAACTAGGAATCTTTTAGAGTAGTCCAAACCTGCAAAATGAAAAGAAGGAAACTAAACAAGTCTTTATAAAGTTACTACAAGGAAACAGAATTGATTTGATATACTTTAGCTGAGGATACCCTCTTCCCCAGAAACAACTATAATGCAGAAGAAAATCCTAAGACAATACTCCAGACTGAATTAAGGAGATAAGCATTTGGGGCTATAAAAACAAAAACAAAAAAACAACTTGAATGAGATATTCAGATTTTAAAACAGACCAAAAGCTAGGAATTAATGAAAAGAATAAACTGAAGGCAGGAGAGAAATGGAAGAAAACATCATTATAAAATTGACTGAATTACAAAGTGCCCAAGGAGAATAGACTCAAGTGAAAATTTAATAAGGGGCATGGAAGAAAGGCAGGAAAATAACCAAGAGATTAAAAATGAGATAAAGAAAGGAATATAAATGGTTAGAGAGAAAATGGTTGAAATGGGAGATAAGCAAAGCAGAAATAACCATATGTATAAATGGAGTCCCCTAAAAAAAACCAAAACAATGGGATATAGCTAACACTCAAAATTATTATCCAAGAAAATATTCCAGAAGTAAAAGAAGACCCAAATCTACATATTGAAACGGCCTGCTTGATAAGTGGAAAGATTAATTCCAAATAATCCATCCTGAGACATATTGTAAAACTATTTGACTTCAGACATAGAGGAAATATCTTCCAGTCCTGAAGGAAATCTTCATATCCTCTAGGCAAAAAGGCTAAATTACTTAGAAAAGCTAAATAAGTTGACCTGCACTAGACTTCTTAAAAAAAATATAAAACAAGGCAACAGTAGAGCATTTAAAAAGACTCAAAAACCCTTCCTCCTTGTGAGGACACAGCAGACGTCTGTGACCTGGAAGAGGGCCATCATGTGACCATGCTGGCACCCTGATCTCGGACTTCCAGCCCAAGCATTGAATGAAATACCAGTATGGCACAATAGAACAAGCCCTCAGTTTAAAGAAAAGCAATGTAGGGACTTCCCTGGTGGCGCAGTGGTTAAGAATCTGCCTGCCAATGCAGGGGACACGGGTTCAAGCCCTGGTCCGGGAAGATCCCACATGCCGTGGAGCAACCAAGTCCGTGTGCCGCAACTACTGAGCCTGTGCTATAGAGCCTGTGAGCCATAACTATTGGGCCCACGTGCCTAGAGCCCGTGCTCCACAACAAGAGAAGCCACCACAATGAGGAGCCTGCGCAACCGCAACGAAGAGTAGCCCCCACTCGCTGCAGCTAGAGAAAGCCCACGTGCACAGAAATGAAGACCCAACGCAGCCAAAAATAAATAAATAAATAAATTTATAAAAAGAAGAAAAGAAAAACGATTTAGTCCCATCTTTTGCTCTGTGGAGGTTATATGGGCTCTAACTATGACATCCCTTAATAGAATCTCAAGACCAAGAAAAATTAACCAAACAAAAAGGAATCAAAACAAAAAATTCCTTCTAAAACAACAAAGAAGCAAGTTAAAAATTACTCTTTGTACTATCAGACGGGCAATGGCTTTGGGGACCAAGATGGATGTGGATAAGCAGAGAAAGAAAAACTGAAAAAGCAATTGAAAGATTCAGGAGGAACAGGGAAGCTTTTCTCTTTCATTCACTCAGGAGTTAATGATATTGCAGGAGATGTGATCATTCCCCTGAATGCTGACAGCGGGCTAAGCTCTATATAGAACCTATTCTTAGGAGCTTTCCAGACTGCTGAAAGCAGAGATTTTTTTTTTTCTTTCTTGTACATGATTTTAAAAATTTATGATGCGTCAGTACTGATTTCTGTAATGCACTGTTTATTTTTTTAAAAGAACAAATTATGTGTGTGCATATATATACGTGTGCGCACACAAGCTTACATTCTTCCAAAAAGAAGTATTTAATTCCTTCTCTCTACTGCCTACCCTCCGTCCTATTCTTTGGAATGAGGGAGGGGAAGACTGAATGGGATTTCGAGTCTTCCCACTGAGAAGGGGACATTTTCTGGAACCAAGTCAGTGTTCAAAGGACTAATGCTCTAAGGAAATTGTCCAAAGGGGAGCAGCAGTTCAGGGTTATTAAGTTATTTTCAAATGTTGTCTGGACTGCTGCTGCTGACCTTTGTGGAGGCAACAAGGTGCTGCTTCCCAGGGGGACAGGATAGGAAGCAATTAGAGAAACCTAGGAGAGGATCAGGAATGTTTGGGAATTCACACGTAGCACAAATTATGTGGGAACTCCAAGAATGAAAATAAACTAATATGATTAAGGGCATATTTTTATCCCAGAAAATATTCTAAAATGTAACTAATACTGGCTATATCTGTATGAGTGCGTTCTTAAAAACTCAACACTCAGTACCTAGTAGATGTCATTTAGACTTAAATTTCAGGGAAGAAAAGGAAAACTAATGAGTATTTCTTGAGTGATATGTGTGAGTGGACATATATACATTTTCTACCTTATTTACTAGGTGGATATCTGAGTAGCAATGAGAAAATTTCAGCTATGTCTTGGTTTTGAAATGACCATTCTCCAGTGAAAAGAATGGTAAAATGACTGATTCTAGGTGGGAGCATGCAAAATAAAAAAAGAGTCTGGAACCTCTTGTACCAGAAACTAACGAGGTGCTGAAAAAATGATGAGGACTTGTCAAAAGGACACAAGGGCCAACATGAAGATCTCCCACACACCAAATCTGGGAATTTGAGCAAAAAAATAAATGATAGCAAAGGACTGTAATCTGTACAGTAAGGATTTGTGAGTCTTTAGTGATATAAATAAATGGAGAGAAGGGAAGCTCTTCCTAGTAAATGTAGAAGTAATATGGAATTTGAAAATACCACTTGACAACCCTCATAGTAATTGTTTCAGGCAAGAATCCTCAATGGCTGTCAAAAATATAATGAAAAGCACAATATTTACATAGCTTGATAAGTATCTCTGCACAGTATTTGTCTGTTACAAAGGGAGCAGTAACTTTGCAGTGCAGAACATCTAGCAGATACCACCTTAACCAAGATATCAAAGTTAACCAATAACAAAACAAGTTGATATTATGTACTCTCAGTGTGATGCATTGAAAGAACAAAGATTTTTTTTGATATTCCTGCCAAAAATGCATCGTGTGAATCTAATCATGAAGAAATACTAGTCAAACCTAAATAGCTGGCCTACTCAAGAACATCAGGGTCAGTCATGAAAGATAATCTGAACAACTGTTACAGATCAAAGAAAACTGAAGAAACATGGTAGATAAATGCAGCATGTGAGACTAGAGAGAATATCTGATATACTTCTATGTATAGTTCCAAGGGAGAGGAAGTAGAAAGTGGAACAGAAAAAATATGTGAAGAGAAAATGACTTAAAATCTTCTAATGTTAATGAAAGCTATCATATTAAAAAGCCCAATGAATTCCATCTAGGGCAAATAAAAAGAAAAACACACCATGATACATCATAGTGAGACAAAGAGAAGAGATTAAAAGCATTCACACAGAAAAATGCTACTTTCAAAAGAATGACAATTAGACTGTAAGCTGATTTCTCAACAGCAGTGGAGGCCAGTGGGAAATCTTCATTGTATTAAAACAAGGTAATTTTCAATAAGAAATTCTTCATCCAGCAAAATCTTTCAAGACTGGGGTGAAACAATTTTCAATGAAGCAAAATTGAAGGGAATCCTGAAAGATAAGTTTTAGGCAGAAGAAGGAATAAAGTAAGTGGTAAATATTCTGTATAAATCAATAATATAATCTAATGGGATTAAAAATTACAATACATGGTAATATTGGCTTATAAATTGGGTAGGGCATAAATGAGTTAGAGTATTTTAAGGTCCTTGTTTTGTCTGAGAGAATTGCAAGATATATATTAACTTACCAAGATATTTGAATGTATGCTGTTGTTTCTAAGGTACCACTAAAAGAAGAGAGAGTAGGTTATTTAACTTACAAGCTAATAAAGGGGAAAATAGTGAAGTAGTCATCCCAAAAGAAGGCAAGAAGGAGGTATAGGTGGAAAAAATAGACGTATAAATAGAAGTACAGAATAAGATTGTCGGGCTTCCCTGGTGGCGCAGTGGTTGAGAGTCTGCCTGCCTATGCAGGGGACACGGGTTCATGCCCTGGTCCGGGAAGATCCCACATGCCGCAGAGCGGCTGGGCCCGTGAGCCATGGCCGCTGAGCCTGCGCATCCGGAGCCTGTGGTCTGCAACGGAAGAGGCCACAACAGTGAGAGGCCCACGTACCGCAAAAAAAAAAAAAAAAAAGATGGTACGTTTAAAACTAAATATATGAGTTACATTACATTAACTGCAAATGTACTAATTGCTCATTTAAAACATATACTGTCAGAACAGACTGTAAGCTGTTTGTAAGAGAGAATCTAAAACAAAATTCAGAAGGATTTGGAATTGATAGAAAAAAGACATAAGAAAGGTAATGTATTAAACTAATATTGGAGAAAATTAGACTTAAAACCAACGAAAGCATTAAGTCATTTCATGCTGATTGAAGGTCCAATTCACCAGGAAGATAAAATATATTAAAATTTTATGTGGCTAGTAATATGCTGTTAAATGTAGAAAATAAACACTGACAGAACTACAAAGAGAAGAAATACACATATGCTTAGAAATACTGAAATGCATTTCTAAATAACCCATAGGTGAAAGAAGTTATAATGGAAATTATAAAATATCTTGAAGTAAATGATAACATACTACTAATTAAAGCTTTGGGACTGCAGCTAAAGATATAATTAGTGGGAAATATATAACTTTAAATACAAATGTTAGAGGAAAAGAAGTTGAAAATTAATAAGCTAAGAATTCATTGTAAGAAGTTAGGGGAAAAAATTCCTATATAGTAAACCCAAAGAAAATAAAAGGTAGTAAATAAGACTAACACAAATTTATGAAATTGAAAACAACAAAGATGATCAAAAAATTGAAAGATCAAAACAGCCAAAAGTTGGTTCTTCAAAAAAATTACTAAAATTGGCTAATCTTTCTTGAGATGATTAAAAGTCAGTACTAGAAATGAAAATGGTAACATGCTTTCAAACTCTGCAGATATTAAAATATCTGATAATATCAAATATTTATATAAAATGGACAAATACCTAGAAAAAAATCTTACTAAAACCCATCAAATGTTCAACAGTAGTAAATTAGGTAAATAGTTTATCTTATAGTCATATATTGGAATACTCTGATGAACTATGGCTATACTCACTAATATGGGTAAATCTCACAAATATAATATTGAGGAAAAGAAGTAAGTTACCAAAGAATAGAAACAAGCTACGTAAGAATACAAACACATTAAAAAAAAAACAAAACAGGTGAAGCCAAACAATATGTGATCGAGGCGTGTATATCTATGTGGCAAAACTTAAAAAACTAGGGAATGATATATTATAGAAGTCAGAATAATTGTTACTCCTGGATGGGAGAACATATGATTGTGGAAACTGTAGGAACTAGTCATTTTCTAATTTTTAACCTGGGTATTTTTATTATTCTCTAAGTTTTATATATGTATTTTGTATTCTCTTTTGTGTCTATATTTCCTTACAAAAATGAAGGAAAAAAACCCAAATCACAGGTTATTGGATAAGTGTCTGAATTTAATTGAATCATAATACCTCTTTTTCTACAGTCATTTTGGAACTGGTTGAATAAACTACTTAAAACGCTCTTTGAAAAATCAAATGACCGAAGAAGACCTTCTGTGCCTGTAATCCAGCCCAGGGATCCATTGGGTTTTAGTTGGTGGATGATTGCTCATGTAGCATCATTTTATCAGTTTGATCGCCATGGAATACCGGATGAAATGGTAAGATTTTATTTTTTCAAACTTTCTTGTATTATCAATCAATATGTACTTTTCGTAGGCAAATTAGCATGTGAGGAGAAACAATAAAAATCAGATTATAATCCTACAGAAATCAACTCAGCTTCTGAATCTAGAAGCTGTAAACCTTCCTGTAAACATCTTGAAAATGATAATCTTTGTTTTTACTGTTTGTTTAGGGAAAAGACTTGGGATCTAGTCCTGGCCTGCTACAAAGTAGTTTTGTGACTGTTAATAAATTACTTAAACCTTTCTGGGCCTCTGTTCTCTCATCCAGAAATCATGGGACTGGATTGTTCTGTTCAGATTTCTTCTAGTTCTAAAATCTTTAAGATTGCCAAAGGGAAAGCCTACATCTCTAGAAATGAATTAGAGAAGATTTTTATGAAGATATTTTAATCTGTTAAACAACGATGAAGTTGCTTCATGTAAAAAGACAGAGATTTTAACTAGTATATTAATTTCTAGTTAGAAACATTTTTTCAGTGTTATTTTAAAATCCCTATGAAATAAAACCAGCTGGTAGGTGTATTTATCTGAAACCCTATTTGTAGATAACTTCTTCCATGTTCAGAAGTAACATAGTATTATATCAACCCATCAGTTCCATAAAATAAGCATGTCTGTATTTTCAAAATTTGTCTTTGTTTTCTGGCAGTGGTTAACAAGCCTGGCTGATCAACAGGCCTATCTGTGAGTTTCTAAAAATTCAGATTTCTTAAGTCTAGAGATCCTGTTTTAGTACTGTAATCTGGTCTGGAGTTTGGAAATTCTTATTTTTAAAAAGTCCTTTGGATCTCATGCTCTTATCAGGTATGGGAACGTTTGCTTTATGAAACATGTTCCTTGATGGACTTCACAGATTTTCCTCTTTCTGGAATACTGGACAGAGCCCAGACATCATCCGTGGAATCTGAGGGTCAGTTAGTATTGACATAGTGTCCTAGAAACGGAGAAAGGGCCTTAGAGGTCCTCTAAGTGATTCCCTAGTAATAAACGGTCCTTTAAGAGATCACAAGATATAGTAAGATAAGTCAGAAAGTGCTCTGAGAAGTCCACACACAGCTCAGTATCGATGTATTTAAGCATTCTACCAATTCATTGAGAGAGATCAATAAGATCAATAGAATGAACTTCTCAGAAGGATCATATGTTCTTTGTTTATGCACATGAGTCCTACCCATACTGATATATGGTAACTGATAAATGCCATTATTACTTTAGTATTCCTTTCATTGAGTATTATAATGGAGTTAATATGGTTATGTTTCACATCTTTTAGTTCTTAAAATACTAGAACAACAATGAAAGAACTCAAAAAATTTATCTATAATTCAAAGGTCTTTACATAAGCATTTTTATTTCTCTTACCACCCAACCTTAATTCTTCCAAATACATATTTCTGCAGTGTAAATAAATAGGGTAGTTAGGTAAGCACTTCTGAGTTCCTACTGAGTGGCCATCATAATAATAGGTGCCCGTGATAGGATACACATGAAATAGATTGTACTGCCTTTTGCTTCAAAGAATGTGCTTTCATGTTATTAATGCTTGCTGGATCTGCCATTAACACTTATTTGAGTGAGTGGTACATTTCAATAGTGTTTGATATCAACCCCCACATGCTCCCAGTATGGTAGGTAATCTAGCCACGTTAATATATATCATTAGTATTACTATTGTAGTTTTGAATTGTATTGGTACAACCACCCTATGTTGCATTGCTGAAATCACTCTTCATTTTCATAGAGGGAACTCCGTAGGACATTATTGCTTTTATTAGCTCTGGATCAAGATAGTGAAAGAATTCTCTGTATTTAAAATAGCTTAACCTTTGTCTTTTAATATTTGTCAGCAGTTCCTTTATGATTTTCTTTTGCCAAGATACATATGTTTTTTTTCAATCTTAATTTTTAAAATTATATAGAAGGTTTTAAGAGGAAAGAGAGCCATGGTATTTGGGAAAAAAATCCTTTCATATGATAAAATAATAAAGATGTGTAATGTGTATGTGTATATGTAAAATAGACTTTGCCTTTATTCATGAGTCTTCAGAGAGTTTCAAACGTTTCTTGACTTCTTAATGTCTTTAAAAGAAAAACTTGAGGGCTTCCCTGGTGGCACAGTGGTTGAGAGTCCGCCTGCCGATGCAGGGGACACGGGTTCGTGCCCCGGTCTGGGGAGATCCCACATGCCGTGGAGTGGCTAGACTCGTGAGCCATGGCCGCTGAGCCTGCGTGTCCAGAGCCTGTGCTCCGCAACGGGAGAGGCCACAATAGTGAGAGGCCCGCCTACTGCAAAACAAAAACAAAAACAAAAACTTAAGTTCTCCAGTTAATGATAGTCTTCATTAGAGGTGATACCTTTAGCATATTGCATTTGCAAAGTGCTTAATATCTCAGAGTGACTATTTGGTTTTTATCTCAATGAAGTGTTATGCAGTAGGCAAGAAGTTAATATTATATCCATTTTACAGGTAAAGAAACTGAGGTGCACAGTGGTTAAATATCACCCTATTTTTATCACTTAGATAAATTTGATATGAGAAACTTTCTGAGAACTTCCTCTCATGAATAGGTCTCTGGTAGCATAACCCTGTGTACCAGTCTGCCAGGGACAGTCCCAGTTTATGCCCATTTTCCCCTCATCCCATCTGGTTAGTTTGTTCCCTTTTATTCTCAGAAGTGTCTCAATTTGGTTTATAAATCATATAATCATTTTAATCTATGAACATAAAGGTGTATTGACTCATTCTTTCAGAGAGATTATATAGGATTTTAATTTGTTTCTGAGATATACTTAGGTCAGAATTTTGAAAATTATCTGAATTCTTTTTTTCTCCTTATGATGTATTAGCATAGCCAGCTACCATATAGAAAATGGTTATGCATTAAGCATGCTTTATTCCACTAAAAAGTAATCTGGTGTGAGAGGATGATATGAAGTAATAATAGTTAGTCATATGTTCTGCAGCAGAGAAATACTGCTAGTCTTGTGATAATCATAGAGATGTTTCAGTTTTTAAATGTGAACTGCTTTTGCCCTGAAGGTTAATGTGAAATCTTTATATTTTAAATAGGTTTGAGATATGGTTATTTTTTTTTAAGTTTTTGTAAATTGGATTTTTGCTGTATGTGGATTTAAATCACAGAAGTTGCCAATTCCTTAACACAGGCCTTTAAGGAAAATTTGGTATCTCACTTCTCATACTAGAGACTTTAGATTTTTATATATTTCTGTTTAATGCTTTTCTCCCAACCTAGATAAGAGTGTGTTAAACTCTTACAATCCCAGTCATCTATTTTGTTTCTATTTATTTTTTTAATTGAAATGTACAGTGTTTCAAGGGTATAGCAAAGTGATTCAGTTATATATATTCTTCTTCACATTCTTTTCCATTATAGGTTATTACAAGATATTGAATATAGTTCCCTGTGCTATACAGTAGGTCCTTGTTTATCTATTTTATGTATAGTAGTGTGTATCCATTAATCCCACAGTCCCAATTTATAATCTCCCCCTCTTTCCCCTTTGGTAACCATAAGTTCGTTTTCTGTGTCTGTAAGTCTATTTCTGTTTTGTAAATAAGTTCATTGTTTTTTTTTTTTTTTTAAGATTCCACATATAAGTGATATCATATAATATTTGTCTTTCTCTGACTTATAGGTCCATCCGTATTGCTGGAAATGGCATTATTTCATTCTTTTTTTTATGGCTGAGTAAAAATTCCATTGTGTGTGTGTATGTGTATATATATGTATACATATATATACACATACACACACAGCACATCTTTATCCATTCATCTGTTGATGGACATTGAGGTTGCTTCCATGTCTTGGCTATTGTAGGTACTGCTGCACTGAGCATTGGGGTGCATGTATCTGGAGTGGGATTGCTGGATCATATGGTAGTTCTATTTTTAGTTTTTTAAGGATCCTCCATACTGTTCTCCATAGTGGCTGCACCAATTTACATTCCCACTAAGAGTGTAGGAGGGTTCTCTTTTCTGCATACCCTCTCCAGTGTTTATTATTTGTAGACTTTTTGATGATGGCAATTCTGACTGTTGTGAGGTGATAACCTCATTATAGTTTTGGTTTGTATTTCTCTAATAATTAGTGATGTTGAACATCTTTTCATGTGTCTGATGGCCATCTGTATGTCTTCTTTGAAGAAATGCCTACATAGGTCGTCTGCCCAATTTTTGATTGGGTTGTTTGGTTTTTTGATATTGAGTTGTTGGTATATTTTGGAAATTAATCCCTTTTTTATAGCATCATTTGCAAATATTTTCTCCCAGTCTGTAGGTTGTCTTCATTTTGTTTATGGTTTCCTTTGCTGTGCAAAAGCTTTTAAGTTTAATTAGGTTCCATTTGTTTATTTTTGCTTTCGTTTCCATTACTCTAGGAGACGGATCCAAAAAAATATTGCTGTGATTTATGTCAAAGAGTGTTCCTCCTGTGTTTTCCTCTAGGAGTTTTGTAGTGTCTGGTCTTACATTTAGGTCTTTAATCCATTTTGAGTTTATTTTTGTATATGGTGTTAGAGAATGTTCTAGTTTCATTCTTTTACATGTAGCTGCCCAGTTTTCCCAGCACCACTTGTTGAAGAGACTGTCTTTTCTTCATTGTATATTCTGGCTTCCTTTGTCATAGATTAATTGACCATAAGTGTGTGGGTTTATTTCTGGGCCGTCTGTCCTGTTCCACTGAACTATGTGTCTGTTTCTGTGCCAGTACCATACTGTTCTGATTACTGTAGCTATGTAATATAGTCTAAAGTTAGGGAGCATGATTCCTCTGGCTCCATTCTTCTATCTCAAGATTGTTTTGGCTATTCAGGGTCTTTTGTGTTTCCATACAAATTAAAAAACTTTTTGTTCCAGTTCTGTGAAAAATGCTATTGGTAATTTGATAAGGATTGCACTGAATCTGTAGATTGCTTTGGGTAGTATGGTCGTTTTAACTATTGATTTCTTCCAATCCAAAAACACCATATATCTTTCCATCTGTTTCTGTCATCTTCAGTTTCTTCTATCAACATCTTATAGTTTTTGGAGTACAGGTCTTTTGCCCCCTTAGGTGGGTTTATTCCTAATTATTTTATTTCTTTTGATACAATGGTAAGTGGGGTTGTTCCCTTAATTTCTCTTTATGATTTTTCATTGTTAGTGTGTACAAATGCAACAGATCTCTGTATATTAATATCTTGCAGCTTTACCAGATTCATTGATGAGCTCTAGTAGTTTTGTGGTAACGTCTTTAGGATTTTTTATGTATAGTATCATGTCATCTGCAAACAGTGCCAGTTTTACTTCTTCTTTTCCAATTTGGACTCCCTTTATTTATTTTTCTTTTCTGATTGCTGTGGCTAGGACTTCCAAAACTATGTTGAATAAAAGTAGTGAGAGTGGCCATCCTTGTTTGTTCCTGATGAGAGTGTGTTAGCCTCTTACAATCCCAAACATCTATTTTAAAAGCAAATATAGTTTAAAGAGAAAAATTACTTTGGGACATTGCAGGGATCATTTTAACAGTGCTTTCCCTGCCCAGAACATAGTGCAGTCAGTGAGGCTAGCTGATGCATTTCTTTGAAATATCTGAAATGGTGACTAGATAAAAGGTGTGAAATACAACCTTAAAATGAGAGTTGCTCCAGGTTACCTAGTCGGCTGTAAGTGGAGAGTGGGGTGTCTATTTTATATTTCCGGTGGAAATACCACCTGTGCTGAAGCTTAAGTGAGTGTCTTCATTTTAATAGTGGGATAAGAAATATAAAACATAGCCCCAAATTGATGACTGTTGCCTCCTTTCTATACTACAACTTAGTATACAGAAAAAAAAAAAAAAAAAATAGCTGCTCAAAGTTAAGTTTCCCTGTGGAAGAAAAATATGTTACCCTTTTATACGTATTTTCCCACTTAGACTTGATTTGGGCATGATATGGTTGCCATTCTTTCCTCTGAATTGTGGTTTATTTTTGTTTTAGATTATAACCACAGTACTATTAAATAGAGTTGAAATTCTCTGGCTGAGAATCATACTACTTCTCTCTGATTTGTGTGATTCAAATTGCTAGAATAACCAAAATATACTCATTAGCCCTATCAAATTATAAAACTAAATACATCAACCCTGTCATGCTTGTGATTATTTAGGACTAGTGGTGATGTTATCTTAATAAAGAATGATATAAAAGTGGATTGCTGGAAGCTGAGGGAAAATTTGTTAGAAAAAGAAACTCATTTATTGATAGCATGGTATAATGGAAGGAACACTGGCTTTGGAGCCAAACCTACTTGGATTTGAATTCATGCTCTGACTTCTGTGTACATGACATTTCTGAGACTTAATTGTGTTATCTATGAGTTGGGTACGATTTAGGAAGTAATAATGTAAAGACCCCAACACAATGTACACATAGTATTGCTAGAACAAAATGGTCTCCTTTTTGAGAGAGTTTTAGAGCGCAGTCCTCAAGGCTACCTCATTTCTGATGCTAATTACAAGCTCGGGGATTCCCAGAGCCATGTAATTTATGTGGACTCACAGAACTCCCTGAAAGCTTTTATACTCACAGTTATGGTTTATTATGGGGAAAGGATATAGATTAAAATTAGCAAAGGGAAGAGTACATAGTGCAGAGTCCAGGAAAAGTAGCAAATGTGGAGCTTCTGTTGTCCTCTCCGCATAGAGTTGAGACACCTTTGTCACCTGGCATCAGTGTGTGACAGTATGCAGGGAGTATTTCTAACCGGGGAAGCTTGCCTGAACTGCAGTGGTCAGAGTTTTTATTGGAGCTCCATTACCTAGGCATAATGGATTGCATCCACATGATGGTTGAGCTCAGTCTTCAGGTCAAATAATACAGGACCCAAAGCCCCCAGCCTAAGTTACATTGTTGATTTTCAGGTATAATTAGCCCTACCCTAAGACTGTGTGGGTGTGGCCACCCTCCACCCTCTGTTACATTGTTAGACAATAGTTATGACCCTAGGCCCAGGGGCAAACAAAGATACTCCTATCAGGTGAAACATTCGAAGGGCCGCGGAGATTACCTCCCAGAAACCAAGGATAAAGTCCAGACCTCTTTGGGCAAGGCCATATTCTTTACTACATATTTTTTCCTTATAAATATTTTGCATTCACTTTATTTACATAAATGTATTTCAAAAAACCAATAATTCCTTTCTAAAAATAACTGTATCATCATACTAGTTATCTATTGATGAGTAACAAAATTTGGCAGCTTAAAACAAACATTTTCTCACACAGTTCCTGAGGGTCTGGCATCCAGTAGGAGCCTAGGGGCTCCTGGCTCAGGATCTCATGAGGTTATAGTCAAGCTGTCACCTGGGTCCTCAGTCTCTGAAGACCTGACTGGGGCTGGAGGAATCACTTCTAGTCTCGCTCACCTTGGCAGGAGGCTTCAGTCACTCATCATGTGGGCTTCTTCGATCCTGTTCATAGCATAGCTTTTCCCAGGAGTCAACGAGAGAGATTGTCATTAAGATGGACGCTTCAGTGACTTCTAATCTTGGAAGTGACATACTATCAGTCCTACTAGTATTGGTATTCTGTTGGTAACAGACCAAGTCTGGTACAGTGTGGGAGGGGATTAAATAAGGGTATGAATACTAGGAGACAGGGGGATACTGGGTGCTGTCTTAGAGGCTGGCTACCACAGTCACTAGGCACTTTTATTAAGGAAATATTTATTTAGTGATTTTATGTAGTTAGCATCTTACATGAACATTATCCAGCCATTTAAAATCAAGAATATTGAACATGCTTTAACTTTGTATTGGTCACTGGAGTTCAACGAACAACATAGTTGTTATAACACGGATAGAAGTGTAGATGAGGCTCTTTGCCTTTATTCTTTAAGGCCTGTGTCTTAGTTTTCTGAAGTCTTATGGTAACTTCTGCACCTTTTATTCTTATCTTGTCAGAAACTAGTTGTTACTTGCTGCTTCTTGGAGGTTCTTTCTTTGCTTCTCGTTTTGACCGATATCCACATATCCAAACCTTTAAGAACTGAGTATCAAATGAACTAGGTATCCTGTGAAAAGTTCCTCCAGGCTTTCCCTTTGGAAAAGTAGAATTGTTCTCAGTGCCTAGCCTTTGTGAAATATGTTGGCTTTGTGAAAGTCTTTTTTGGCTTTCTTCTTTATTATAGAGTCTTCAGGATAGTTGAGCTTGCCAGATAAGTGACCATTGGCTAAATGAGGTAGCAGTGGGTAAAAGTTTTTTTTTAATTTTCTATATAAAATTTTTAGTTACTTGTTTACTAGAGTAGACCATCTTGAAGCTGTTATGCATAAAACAAAGGTAAAAATCTCTGCTGAGTAAAGTACAGAATAAAGAAGGACAGTCGCTGGTATAAAAAAATCCGAAATATACTTAAAGGTTTTTTTTTCCCCTGTTAGATTGTATCTGACAGCAAAAATTTATTATTTGTTAAAACATTTATAATTTTATAGAAGTACCACTGTTTGATAAAATCACTCCTGATAAGGTTTATATGGGATTGGAATAGTTGTAAATTTTTTTCTCCCAAGTCTGTAAACTAACTCTTTGCCAAAGTAATTTTAGACAGTCAAGAAATTGTAATGATACCTGATGATAGTAGAAAATGTACTTCACACTTAACTTGCTACTTTATAATTTTAATAATAATTAAGAGCAGTAATTTTAATGCAATATTTTCTCCCTTTCTAGAGACAAATGGAATCAAACTGGAACTTTGTAGAAGAACTGCTGAAAAAGTCCATCAATGTTCAGGTACACATTTAAAGTGAGACAGTTTGTGGGCTTTGCTAAATTTTTATGTTACAGATTTTACTTATAATAACCAAGCAAACTGTTAAAATGATTTAAATAACAAACTTAGTTTACTTATAAAAAGTCTGAGATAGAATCATCATTCTTTGTTAATGCAGGGTCCTTGTACAATAGTTTTTATTTTGAAGATTTTTATTTTAACACTGACTTGCCAGTTAAAGGACAAAGATAATAGTCACCTGGTTGGTGACTTTGAAAAATGTATTCAAAATAAGTAGCAGATGCTTCAGAACTATAAGCCATTCCTTGACTGCATGATATCAAGTCTAGTAGACATGATGAGGGAGATAGTCAGTAGCATTGGAAATTCAGCTATATCCTCATCACAGCAGGAAGGTGACTTGCCTTGCTGAGCAATTTGTCTTACAGGCTTGACTCATACTCTAACTGATAAGGTCCTAGTTTCTGAGTCCTCATTTCACACCTTATCATTTTTCTTTCTGCAGAACGGTTAATGTAGTGTTTCATGGCCCAGAGGTCAGATTTGACCTCCTTTTAGTTTTAAATATGCTCTTCATCACATCTTTAAACATATTGTATTATAGTTCTGTAAAGTTTTGTAGCATAAGTTATTTATGTAAGATTTTAAGGGGAAATTTTAGTAAAGAATATTTTTTTAATTTGGGAAATAGACTCCTTTTCTGTTACGAAATGAAGATTGTTAAAAACTTGAAGAGGAATAAAAAAGAAATATGGTAGTACAAGATTGCTACACACATTTATTTTATAGCCATATCTTTGAAAATCATTTTAATATCTTAAATATTTTCCCTGTTATCTATATTAACTCTTAATTTTTTTAGGTAAAAATATAAGTATATTTAGTCATAGTATGAATCTTCTAATTATGAACTAAGAATTCTAGGTTAGAATGCCAAAGAACTCTGAATATGTAAGTTGCATCAGGAACAAAAGAGCTATTATCCCAAACACTAAATTTTTTTTATTTTCTTTTTTCTGTATCATTTTCATTGGCTTTCTCCTATGTTCTTTTTGAGTACATACTGATTTAGTAACTCAAAAAGTTTCAGACATGTATTTTTTTACTTCTAGAATGTACAGAATCACTAAAAAGTCGTCACCATTATTTACATCAGCTATTAATCCAGTATTTTAATGGTATCACCTAAAGCTGTTTTGAAGATAAATCACTAATTCTTGTAAGTAGGTAGGATGACCATCTGGATTTACCTGGCTTGGAGTATCTCAAAATGTGGGACTTTCAGTGCTAAAACCAGACAAGGCCTGAGAAAACTGGGGCGAGTCAGTCACCAGAGAAGCAAGGATAGTACAGCTAATCTAAGAAACTTTCCCTGTGAATTTAAGTCTAGCATAAAGTCAAAGTAATATCTTTCCTGTAAGAGAAGAGGTCATTATAATATGTAGAAAAAAGCAGTCCATTCTCTCTAGTAACCTCAATTTTGTCATGCCTTGATTGTATCAAATTAGATTTTATAAGTAGTATAGGACTACTTGCTGGAGTTCCTGAAACCAATTTTGTGGGTGCAGTAGGTGGTCATAAAGAATAAATAATATGTTTGGATAGAGCTATCAGTTTGATTATATCTGTTTTCCCCCACTGAGGTAAATTAAAATCTGACCATGCTCGTGCTGTGACTTGATCTCCAACAATGAAAGAAAGAGTCCATTTACAATATTTAAAAAATATATATGTTTCACATATAGAGTAGTCTTCACATAAAATTGGTGGGCACTCCACTGTAGTCTTAATTAAGCAAATAATGTTCTAAATCTTTTTCTAGCCAGAGAGGATTTCCAGAAACAGACATTGAGCTTTGTTAGTAAAGAGAGCATATATTGTTTAATTTTACTTAAACTGAATAGTTAAGTATTTGCTTTAAAAAACATTTTTTAGAGGTAATCCTATTTAATATTTGTGAATGCTAACAGTAAACATTTGTTCTACCTTTATAATAGCATTTTTTTTTTTATGAAAAGGGAGATTTTTAGTTTTATGCTACCTACTTTTTAAAGCCTCATTATTTGATGAGATCACAGAACAGTTTTCTAACAAAGGTCATAGAAGGGTATAAGAAGAAATCCTAAGCAAGCCTAATATTTAAAAAAAATTTTTTTTCATTTGTCAAAGAATTTGGAGAGTCCAAGGCTAAAAACCACTCAGAATGTGATTAGCTCTGAATAATGTGGAACAATAATCTTCTAATTACTAATCCAAAATGTTTGTGTTTCTTGGACAGAAGGATCTTGCCCGAGACATTGAAGTCTAACTCTCTTTATCCAGTCCTAAAACAATCCCATCAGTTAGACTGACAGTTAACTGTTTAGCTTGCAAATAAATTTTATTCTCCTGGTGATTTCTGATAGGCAAGTCAGTTATACATAAAAAGAAAAAATGAACCCACAGTTGTTATATTGCCATTTGTATAGAATAAGCTAAAAGAGTAAATGTTTTCATTTTTAGTTCTATAAAAGAATTTGATATATGGAATATACCCGAATTTAATATGCCTGCATTTAATCTTTTGAAATAAAGATAGGAAGGCATTCTTTTAAAAAAGGACTAAGAGGGTTTCCCTGGTGGTGCAGTGGTTGAGAGTCCACCTGCCGATGCAAGGGGACACGGGTTCGTGCCCCTGTCCGGGAAGATCCCACATACTGTGGAGCAGCTGGGCCCATGAGCCATGGCCGCTGAGCCTAAAAATTTCCTAAAGGACTTGAAGCTTTGGTGTATTCTAACAGATTAATAACTAAAAGAGTTAAAAGCCTTCTCAAAAAAATCTGGTCATGTTTGGTTCACTCTCATTCACTGAAATATTTGGCAGCAAGATCACTCTTCTCTTCTATACCTGTATACTACTTTTATTAGTGACCCCAACATCATTGTGTATAATCCACCTGTCCTCTAAGTTTCTTCATATCCTTACTTCTAATCAGATTTTCTTTTATTTACCTTACCCACTGCCTCCCATTAGTTATGCTCTACATTTTTTCACTTTTCATTTTCATTCTGTCCATCATCATTGATCTTTTCATTTTTCTGTGTTCATCCATGTCCAAACTTTCCTCCTTGAACAATGTAGATTATACAACCCCTTATTATAATCACTCCATCACAAACACCTTTAATTCCATAGCCCTTACCTATTTTAAACTTGGCAAAACCTAATACCCTTCTCTTACCCCTCTGCCACGCCCCCACCTCAGCTGAATGTTGGTGGAAAAAACTCATACACTCATTCTTGCTGACTGGTCTGACTTTAAATTCTTGATCATAAATCTTTTCAAGTGGCTCTAGAATGTTTACTTTTCTACTCTCCAAAACAACTTATTTCAGAATTTCTTTTTTAACACACAGTTCAACACATGCTGTGCCCCAGTCACCTTAGCTAAGCATCTTGCCTCATAAATCATTGAGAAAATAGGACCAGTCAGTTGAGAACTCCTTTATGTTTAAACCTTCTAATCTCCCAATGTGCCTGCTTTGTACACAACCTCTCAATCTGCTTTTCTGTTATATTGGAAGTGTCACTGTTTCCCTCAAAGGCTAATTCCTTTCCCTGTGTACTGGATCCTTTCTCTTCTCACCTGTTCAAGGACTTTATATATCTTCACTTAAGTATCACTACTTCCTCACCTTCTATTATCTCCTCAACCTGCCATAGTTAAGCATCTGTGTCTGCCATACCTGAAACTACTGTTGTCAAAGGCATCAATAACTTCCACATTGTCAAATCTAAGAGTTCTTTGTTCTCATTTTAACCACTCAGTAGCATTCAACCCTGTTGACCCCCTTCCCTTTCTGAAATATTTCTCTTGGTTTCCATGATGCCTGGTTTCCTTCCTACTTCATTGACCATTGGGTTTTGCTTATAGACTCCTCCTTTTGCTTCCTACCTAAATTTTGGAATAGCAAAGGGCTCTCAGTTCTGGATCCTTTTCTCTTTTCCATCGTCTTTCCTAGGTTGATCTTATCTAGTCTCTTAGCTCTAAAAGCCATCAATATGAAAGTAACATCCAAATTTATATCAATAGCTCTTACTTTTCCCTTGAGCTATAGACCCATATGTCAGTTGTCTACTTAATATTTCCACTTGGTTGCCCTGTGCACCGTCTCATGTGTTCCTCCCCTAGTCTTTGCCATCTTAGGAAGTGGTTCCATCAACCCATTTTCTTAAGCCAAATGAGAGTTCTCCTTAATTGCTGTCTTTCCTTCATACCTTAATGTAACTCATCAACAAATCCTATTGTCTCTGTTTCCAAACATATCTCTAAAGTTGTCCACTTATCTTAGTCTTACAGTTTCACAGAGTCACCTCCTAACATTTTGACAGGAGGAGAAGGAAGTAGAAAAAAGTAGACATTTTAATCTCATCTTCTGTGATGGAATAACCATACATGTTTGTTGAAAAGTGACACAACACTGAATCCCAGTCATTCAACAGTTATTTATTTAAAGCATACTATATCTCAAGCACCTTCAAATTTCCCAGCATTTCTACTTTGTACTTGACCTCTGTCTGATTTTCTATTACATTGGAAGTGTCACTGTTTACCTTCTAACTGCTCTTAACTACTGTATTCATTCTCGATGCATGATCCAATGTACTATTTTTTAAACAATCATTTCATGTCACCCCTGTGCTTACAATCTTGTAGAGGCTTCCCAACATAATTAAAATAAAAACCATAATTCTGACTATAAACTATAAAGCCTCAAATGAGGTATGATTCCTGACTATCTCTGACTTAATCCTATAATATCAAGCTTACTGCTAATTCAGGAACTTCCCATGTGTTTTCTCTGTGATGAATGCTTTACTTTCAGTTCTTTATGTGGTTGGCTGTTTTTCATTCAGTCATTTAGCCCAAATGCCAGCCCTCAGAAAGATCTTTCCATTCTTAATTCCTGGTAAAATAATGACCCACATCCTCTACCAGCTACCCTACCACATTACTCTGCTTTTTCTGTTTTTCATGGTGATTGTAATTGTTTACATTTATCTTGTTTGTTTCAGTGTCCTCTTTTTCCATTCTCCACCAAAGTGTAACTTCTATTAGTGCATGTACCATGTCTGACTTATTCATTGCTTTATGCCTAGTACCTTAGAATAGTGTCTGGTATATAGTAAGCTTTGAATAAATGATTGCTGAATGATTGGAATTCAGTGATGTGTCACTTTTTAACATGCATGGTTGTTTCATCATAGAAGATTAAAGTGTCACTTCTTTTCTACTCTCTCCTGTTGCCACTTCCTAACAGGTTAAAATTTATGTACTCTGCCAATCCTCTGGTTTTTAGAAGAACAACGCTTATATTCCCATAAAGAATTTGACCTCATATTGATACTTAAGTATGAGCAAGTCCTCTGGATTTGTGTACATCTTAATTATTCGATCATTTACGCTATTTCATTCTGGTTTGGGTTTCTTTTTCAGTCTCTGGGTTCTACACCATTCAGTTATTAAATACCTATTGTAATTGTTAAATAACTGAGTAAAAAGTCAAAGTGAGTTATGTAATTTCAGTTATCTGAATATACTAATGATCTCTAAAGCAAAGTTTTAGAAGTATACCTTATGCTGATTTAGACCTTCTGGTCTGAAGATGAGAATGGGTATTACGTGGTGATGTATATTTATATTCTTTCTAGGAGCAGGTTATTCAGTGCAATATCAACTGATAATGTGTGTTGCCAGAGCGCATTTAGCTCCTCACAATTTCAGTTTATTTTTTAGGATGGTATACTAGAAGAGCAGTTACGAATGTATCTTCACTGTTGTTTGACCCTTTGTGATTTCTGGGAGCCAAACATTGCAGTTGTCACCATTCTGTGGGAATATTACAGTAAGAACCTGGTGAGTAAATAGAGTATGAATTTGTTTCAGGAATTTGAAGAATTTGTACATGATATATGAGGAATATTTTCATGGCTTAATTATATATAATTATGGATTTTTCTTAAAACTAATTTTTCAAAGAAGATTAGCTCAAAAATACTTATGTTTCACATTGTCTAAAGAGCATTGGCATAAGGGAATGGAGCATGTAAGGTCCCTTTTCTCTTTTTTGTATTAAAATACTGAGTTTATTTCACATGTATATTTTTGTCTCCCCACCATTTCCATTTGTCTGACCACCACTACTACTATGTCCTATCATAACATTCCATACATACTTAAAGCCAAGCAAAGGGTGGAGTTCCATCTTTAAAAACTAAACAGGCATTTTGGACAACACATTCTTGGCAATGGAACCTGGACAACATTTATCAGACACGGTAGGGGAAGTTCTCACTCTGCATTATAAAAAGGACAGCCAGATATCAACTGTTACAGAAATGAAATAAGACGGAAGATTTTAACAAACTGTTTAAACTATTTTCTTAAAGAGACTTCCTCCACTGCCAGAGATCTTGAATAGCCTCCTGATCAGTCATCTGGAAACAATTCTTCACATAATTGATGAATTTGGCTTCCACTTTGGGAAGGGAACCACCTTTTTCTATACTTGCTTGCATTTTTGCTTTAATGTCTTCTACAGAGCTAGGTCCTTTCGGTGTTTTAGGAGTTTTTTTCCTGTTTTTTGAAGGATTCTTGACTTTTTGATCTTGGTATTGATGGTTTTGAGTCTTTTCCATTCTGGTTTGATTTTTGTGCATTTTTGCCTGGAGTATCTCGTACAGATTTCTTTACTGGAGCTTTTTCTTCAGCTTCCTCATCATCATAGTCATCATCATCGTCGTTGTCATCATCATCATCGTCGTCGTCATCATCATCTTCATCTTCATCAGCAGCAAGTTTTACTTTTTTCCGTGGAAACTTGCTACCACTTCCAGGGGCAGAACGCTTTCCAGATATACTTAGGAGTGTCACATCTTCCTCCTCTTCATCTTCTGACTCTGCATCTTCCTCCACAGCTATTAAGTGCTGTCCACTAATATGCACAGGCCCTGAACCACACTTCAACCGTAAGACCACAGGTGGTATTATTTCAAAGCCCCCAAGGGAAACCGTTGGCTGCACAGACATTTTCAAAGTTGCCAGTGTTACTTTAACTGGACTGCCTTCATAATTCATCGCCTCTGCTTCGACAATGTGCAATTCATCCTTTGCGCCAGCCCCTAAACTGACCGTTCTTAAAGATAACTGGTGCTCATTTTCATCATTATCCACCTTAAAGTGATAATCTTTGTCGGCCTTTAGTTCACAACCGAAAAAATAGTTCTGGGGCCTCAGGGGCCTCATGTCCATGTCCATCGAATCTTCCATGGGTTGGTGGCACGCACTTCGGTGGGAGAGAAAGTGGACGGAGATAAAAGACTACTGTTCCAAGGAACAGTTGCGCAGGACGAAATCAGACCAGGACCCCTTTTCTCTTAAGAGTGAGATTAAGCAAAGTAGCCCAGATTGTGCCAGAAAGATATTTTTTAAAAATCTTCTTTTATAAGTGTTTTCTAACAACTATTGATTGCTTGCAACACATTGAACAGTTAGTGCTATCTTGAATAAGAACTAGTCTTGGCATTTGAGTAGCTTATAGGCTAGTGGGCAGAAGCACAAATATTGTAGAAAAAAAGTTATAATACTGTGGAAGGCTAAAGGAAGGAGTATCTGATCCAGTTTACAGACTTGTGGAAGACTTTATGAAGTCATAATTTTTTAAGTTCACCTGGGAAATGAGTAGAATTTTCCAAGTACATAAGAAAATGAGTATCCAAGCAAAAGGAATAGTGTGGACAAATGTAAAGAGACATGAAAAACATGATTTATTCCTACTGTGTTAAATAGTTCTGAATGATGGGTCTGAGGTGATTATGGAGAGATACGGGAGATAAGGAAGGTAGAGAAGTTAGTCTGGGGCTGGATTATGAAGGGTTAAAGATAATTGTTGAGTTATGGTTTATTCAGGAGACATTGGAAAGCAAGGATGTGACACATTAGGTATGTGTTTGAGAAAGTTTTTTCTGAAAGTAGTATAAAGGAATTGGGTACAGATGAGTTAGTAGTCCAGTGTAGTAGTAGAAGCAAATAATGCAGTGAGTGAGAACTAAAATAGGGATAGTGGATTTTAAAAGGAGAGGACAAACTTGGAAGATAAAATTTTAAAGGTACATTTAAAAGACTGAGTTACTTGTTTGTGGAGAGAAGAGAAGATTTGGAACATTTGGTTCTCAGGGTAAATACAAAGTGAACCCCTCAGTCAAGGAGGAAAATAGGTATGGAGGATTTACAAGTAAATTACAAGTTTGGGTTTGTACATATTGAGCATATTAAAAATGGGAAAAATACCTTTCTCTGAAGCACATTGTCAGGCTGGTGGGAGAAATGACCAATTCTGATTCTCAGGCAGAATGTATACAAGATGAGTCTAGAGTATCTTGTCATACCTGAAAGCAAGGAAGGTATCAAAGTAAGCTGGAGTCATGTCAGAAGGGCACAGGAGCCAACTTTAAGGAGCTCCCATTGCCCAACACTGGGTAAATTTGGGCATAGGGAAGTTTAAATCCTTGAGTTTATGGTACTTTTAGAAAAGTTGTTATTCTGGAAACTGTAAATAAATGAAAATATAAACTATATTTTAGAGTACCAGATTTCTGATGAGGTAGTTTAGAAGGAATGATAAAAAATCTCTGTTCCAGGGCTTCCCTGGTGGCGCAGTGGTTGAGAGTCCGCCTGCCGATGCAGGGGACACAGGTTCATGCCCCAGTCCGGGAAGATCCCACATGCTGCGGAGCGGCTGGGCCTGTGAGCCATGGCCGCTGAGCCTGTGCGTCCGGAGCCTGTGCTCCGCAACAGGAGAGGCCACGGCAGTGAGAGGCCCGCGTACCGCAAAAAAAAAAAAAAAAATCTCTGTTCCATACCTCCGATGAAATAAGCCATCTGGATGATGATCATCCACGGCTGCTCAAACTGCAGGGATCACTAAAATGGATAGATCAGGCTGACAGCATGGTCAGTCTCAACATCACAAAAAGCAAGACGGTGAGAACGTATGTGCCTCTTTGCTAACTGAAATAGGAAGTACTCAGTACTACCAATGAAAGATTCTCACCAGAAAACTTGACCTGAATCTGACCAGTCTGCTAGGTACAGCTACCACTTTACAGAAAAGATAGAGGATGAAAGAATATATTAATGAGTCTAGGAAGATACAAGCAGCTAAATCCAGAATCTAGGAAATACCACACAATAAATTACCTGATAAATGTTGTGACAAAAACATTGGGAAATTTATAGAATAAAAGAGATTTAAGAGGCATGTCAACCAAATGCAATGTATGGATCTTGTAGCTATCCAAAGTTGAAAAAACTAACGGTTAAAAAGGCATTTTGAGGATAATCCAGGAATTTGAATACCCCTTGGTGTTCTGTGCTTGAATGGAATTTTTATTTTAGGGGAATATGCGGTAATGGCTGTGTAATTTTTATGATTAAGAAGAGTCAAACTTCTAGTGAGCTAATTGGGATTTACAGCTTTCCATTTTTATTTATTCAGAGACTTAATACTTGTTTTCTGTCTTTTGCTTTTAGAATAGTTCTTTCAGTATTTCTAGGCTTCCTTTGAAAGGCCTTACATATGTCATTAAGTCACCCTTGTCTATGCTAGAAATGGTGAAGACCTGCTGTTGTGATAAACAAGATCATGACCTGTATAAATCCAGCAGTAGTTACACTTTTTTCCTTTGCATTTTGGCAAAAGTTGTTAAGAAAGCAATGAAGAACAATGGCCCTCATCCTTGGAAACAAGTCAAAGGAAGGTATGTGCCATATCTTTCTCTGTCATGAATGTTCACTTATATCTTTGGAGAAGTTTTACTGTTTGTATTTTTTAAGTTAATTTGTGCTTGTTTGTCTTTATGGTTTACATTTTAAATGTATTCGTTAATGTAGGACAGCAAATTATGGAGCATTTTGATCTTGCCAATTTGTTACAGTAAGGAACAAACCTAGTATACATAACTTGGGGAGGATTTTAGCTTCTTATTTATCTCATCAGTCCTAAAGTTTGAAATTCCATATATTAAATGCAGGGATATAAGAGAACTGTTATTTTTCTTGTCAAAATTAATTGTAATGTTTTATGTAATTCTTTGCATGTATTTTATTAAAAATTATAGAAATAAGAAACATTTCCAAATCATACATTGGCAGGTGGTAGATTCAGTCTATAAAACTTTGTGTTCTTGGAGCCCACCAGTCCCACAAGCCCTGCTTTCTTGCATGAAAACTAACCAGAATATAATAGAACCAAATAACCCTGATGTTCTCATTTGAGGAGTATGCCATTTTCATTTCTGGTTTGGTAAAATAAACTTTTGATCACATTTGTCTATTCTTTTTTGAAAGTTTTGCTTGTTAAATGGGTGTGATTTTTTTAACATCTTTATTGGAGTATAATTGCTTTACAATGGTGTGTTAGTTTCTGCTTCATAACAAAGTGACTCAGTTATACATACACATATGTTCCCATATCTCTTCCCTCTTGCATCTCCCTCTCTCCCACCCTCCCCATCCCACTCCTCCAGGCGGTCACAAAGCACCGAGCTGATCTCCCTGTGCTATGCAGCTGCTTCCCACTAGCTATCTACCTTACGTTTGGTAGTGTATATATGTCCATGCCTCTCTCTCGCTTTGTCACAGCTTACCCTTCCCCCTCCCCATATCCTCAAGTGCATTCTCTAGTAGGTCTGTGTCTTTATTCCTGTCTTACCCCTAGGTTCTTCTTGACATTTTTTTTTCTTAAATTCCATATATTTGTGTTAGCATACGGTATTTGTCTCTCTCTTTCTGACTTACTTCACTCTGTATGACAGACTCTAGGTCCATCCACCTCATTACAAATAGATCAATTTCGCTTCTTTTTATGGCTGAGTAATATTCCATTGTATATATGTGCCACATCTTCTTTATCCATTCATCTGATGATGGACACTTAGGTTGTTTCCATCTCCAGGCTATTGTAAATAGAGTTGCAATGAACATTTTGGTACATGACTCTTTTTGAAGTATGGTTTTCTCAGGGTATATGCCCAGTAGTGGAATTGCTGGGTCATATGGTAGTTCTATTTGTAGTTTTTTAAGGAACCTCCATATTCTTAATTGTCTAACCTTGTTCTACTTCTTTTGCCTATTAGCCCCTTTTCTAGCCCTCTGTGCAGTAGACTGCCCTCTACCACTTGCTCAGCTTATGTGGTGGAAGCTCTCACAGCAGAATACTTTTTAATTTAGGTAGAGACTTCTCAAGAATCACTACATGAAATTCCTGTTTGATTCACACAATGAATAATTCTTGCAAGGTTATGGTGATACAGTTTGGATTTTTTATTTAGAATATATATATATTTTTAATGGTAGTGTCTTTGTTAAACCTCCAAGTAATTAGGTAGCTCAAACAATAGTTTTTTTATTTTGTTCTGTTTGCCAGTTTGTTTTTGAATCTTAAATCATTTTATGGAAGACATAATACTCAGAACTTTATTGCCAAAAGAAATTGGAATTCAGTAACAAGTCTCTCTACCAAGCGCTATCATGGGCAAGATGGAGGATATAAAGATAATTAAGCAGATCTTTACTTTCAAGAGCTTATCAGCTTCATTGTTTATAGATAAACATTTAACCTCTCCTAAGCATTAATCATTTCTATCTTGAATAAACCAATTATAGAAGTTACAAAGAAATTTAACAATCCATAAGTAAGATTCAAAATGGTTTTCAATTCTAATCCCTTAATTGATGAAAGAAAAGTACATCAACTTTTAAATTGTATTAAATAGTACTGACAGCAGCTTTTTAAATGGCTAGTCTTGGATATTTGAGCACTAACAATTTTTCTTTGTAAGTAGGTAAAAATAATTTTTCCGGAGCTTTAAATTATGTCTTAACATATAAGTACAGCAAGAGCCAAGTCTTTGTGAAGGGTAGATGGAGAAAGGGTTTAAGGAAAATTGTTACATAAAATTGCCCTGTTAAGATTTCTATAAAGTGCAACAAGTTGTACTTAAAAGGATTATGTACTCTTATTTGTCAATAAGAATTTAAAAAGAAAGGTAATGGGGGGACTAAAATAAAAGGAAAAGCCATGTACTATATGAAAAGAACATTTTTACTGTCCTTTGGGGAAAGCCACTGAATCCTTTGATTCACTTATAGATGCTTGCTGCATCCTTGAGAAATGTGAAGGTAAGTGGGGGCAGTGGTGTTCTGTGAGGTTGTTTTCTAAGCAGGAAAAGTGACACAATAGCACCATAATGTAGAAATAGATAACAATTTAAAGTAATGAGACTGTCATGAGTATTGAGTGAAATGTTATTTTGAAAGATGCATTTTTGTGAATGAAACAATTTTATTAATTCAGCTTTTTGTTTTACAGGATATATTCTAAATTCCATCAAAAAAGAATGGAAGAACTAACTGAAGTTGGTCTGCAAAACTTTTTCAGCCTTTTTCTACTGTTAGCATGTGTGGCAGAGGTGGAAGATGTAGCAAGTCATGTTTTAGGCCTCCTAAATTTCCTCAAGCCTGCCTTTATAACATCTCCTCTCATTTGGAAGGGTCAGATGGCCTTCCTCTTGATGTACACCCAGAAAAACCTGGACATCAGTGTTTTGGCTGAGATATTTTCAGGTGCTTTCCGGGAGAAAGCAAAGGAGTTCTTGGTATCTAAGAATGATGAAATGGGACAAAGACAGACTCTCTGGTCACTTCTTTCCATATATATTGATGGTGTTCAAGAAGTGTTTGAGACTAGCCATTGCTTGCATCCTTCCCATGAAAAACTGCTTAATGATGGCTTTAGTATGCTTCTACGAGCTTGTCAAGAATCTGAACTTAGGACAGTGTTGAGCTTTCTACAAGCTGTTCTGGCCAGAATCAGGTATGTTTTCCAGTAACGTTCTGATTTATTGATTTGCTTTATATCATCACCTGTGTTGATTCTGTATTAAAGTTTTCCTTTTGACATACTCATGAAATTTAGTTGTAAAGAGAGGAGTTAAAGGAGTTTTACTGCAATGTAACATAAATCAGTAATTTTCAAACAGTGCTTCTTTGAAAGAAAGCTTATTTGCAAACACATAAAACTAAACTAAATCAAGCATAGCTCTGGTGTAGTCCAAGAGCCATGCCTCTTGGCCCCTTCTTTCCTCTCTGCCTCTCCTAGAAGAGCATTATTATCCAGAGAGATATTTCAGACATTCTAAGCAAGACCATGAGCTCAAATCTGATGTCGCTTTCATGGAAACATACGCAGTTTTGTGTGCGTAAGGAGATTTTGGCCACATTATACCATTAAAAAAAAGTAAGTTTCTTTAAATATTTTGCTGCAGAGTTGCAACCTCAAATGCATGAAATATTTGGTTGGCCAAAAAATTTGTTTGGGTTTTTCCAAAAGATCTTACAGGAAATCCCAAACGAGCTTTTTGGCCAGTACAACACTTCCAGTTGAAATAGTTTATTCTAAGATTAAGATAGGAGTGTTCGGGGCTTCCTTGATGGCACAGTGGTTAAGAATCCGCCTGCCAATGCAGGGGACACGGGTTCGAGCCCTCGTCTGGGAAGATCCTACATGCCGTGGAGCAACTAAGCCTGTGCACCACAACTACTGAGCCTGCACGCCACAACTGCTGAGCCCACGTGCCACAACTACTGAAGCCCACACACCTAGCTCCGCAACAAGAGAGGCTGCCGTAATGAGAATCAGCCTGCGCACCACAACAAAGAGTAGCTCCCACTCACAACTAGAGAAAGCCCACACACAGCAATGAAGCCCCAACACAGCCAAAAATAAATAAATAAATTTATTAAAGACAAGATAGGATTGTTCTATTTATAACACCAATCATCTATACAAAACTTACTGTTCTCAGATCCACTTAAATTATGCAAATGTGCAGATACCCTCCGACCCAAACAATAATGGATAAGAACAGTGATTATGACCTTTATTGCCTATAAGGCCCTTTCTACATAACAGTTTCACCTTTAAATACATGTTCTTGAGAAGTTAGATACTACCACTCAGTGCAGTTAGTTACTGTCACTAAAAAGTTGTGTAAAAGATAGGTATAAAAATATGATTTTATTTAAAATCATGTCTGAATTAACAAAGAGACTGCGTCCCTCTTCTTAGCTGCACATTACAAAAGTGGCATGTGTTTTTCAAAGATAGTAAACTTGATGAAATTTCCGAATTTTGGACATTTATTCATTATGAGTTTCATTACTAATTCATTACTAATTACTAATTCATTACTAATTTTCTTAATTTATGTTGGGCTGTGTGTTCATACAGATTAATCCACGGGTTTTCACTCTTTAGATTTTGTGTAGTTTTTATATTTATGTACTCTAGTTCTTGATCAGATAATCGTTCCCCTTATCCCCCAATGTAAGCTGTATCAAATTTTTAGGTGGATGGCTAGATAACTGGATAAGTAAATGAATAGCCAACTTCATTAGAAGAAGCTTTTACTGATTCTGGATCTTCTCCACGAAGTACATTTGTTCTTTCTTAGTCTAGTAGAGTTTATTAGCAGATGATATACTTTTCCAAGTGCCAAATTCATTTTGTTTGTTCAATTTTTAAATAAGTGGTAAGTAGTGCTTCTGGGGCAGAATTAGGAATTTCCTGTGCTTCTGGGGCAGAATTAGGAATTTCCATATTTCTGGTACCATTTTTGGTTTGTTTGTTTATATTTGTCTGAATATACAAAACAAGAAGGAAGAGGAGGGAGCTGGTCTAAACCATCCTGGTGATAGTGCTGCAGTCTGGGCAAAGGAGTAGAAAATGATGTGAGAGTTTGGGCATCTTGGGAAGATGCAGTCATGGAACCAAGTGGCAGAATCCATATATCTTTCTACCTTTTCCATTAAAGATAGACAAGTCTTTTTTATTTGTCTTAACAATTGTATTGTTTCTTATATATGTTTTTTTTAAACAAAGATTCATATCTTACAAATACTATTTAATTTTTTAGTTAGAAATTTGGAGGAACCTATTTTTTTTTTGAGGTTCTTCAAAGTATTGGGTTAGCCAAAAAGTTTGTTCAGAAAACCTGAACGAACTTTAGGTCCAATCCAGTAGTTTGGAGAGCAGTGGGGCAGTGTGGAGGAATCTTCTTTTGTTGTGAAATTTTTTTTTTTTTTTAATTTTAAGGAACATGTATTTATTTATTTATTTATTTACGGCTGTGTTGGGTCTTCGTTGCTGCACATGGACTTTAGTGGCAGATTAGGGGCTACTCTTCACTGCGGTCAGCAGGCTTCTCATTGCAGTGGCTTCTCTTGTTGCACAGCACAGGCTCTAGGCATGCAGGCTTCAGTAGTTGTGGCATGCGGGCTCAGTAGTTGTGGCTCATGGGATCTAGAGTGCAGGCTCAGTAGTTGTGGCACACGGGCTAAGTTGCTCTGTGGCATGTGGGATCTTCCCAGACCAGGGCTGGAACCCGGGTCCCCTGCATTGGCAGGTGGATTCTTAACGACTGTGCTACCAGGGAAGTCCCTGAAATTTTTCTTTGAATTGCAAATGTAGTATGTTGTGTTGGTAAAAATGGTAAAAGAAAAAAAAAATGAGGTATAAGGTGACAAGTAAAAGTTCCTCTCCCCAACTTCACTCCTTAATTCTCTAGTTCAATGGTTCTCACCTAGGGGTGAGTTTTTCCCCCAGGGGACATTGAGCAGTGTCTGGAGAAGTTTTTGATTGCCACATGTATGAGGGGTGCTACCCAGCATCTAGTGGGTGCAGGTCAAGGATACTGCTACATAAATAGCCTACAATGTACAGGACAGCCCATGCAACAAAGAATTTTCTGGTCCAACCTCAGTGATGCTCTATTTCTACTCCATAGATTAAAATGGTTTGTTATAGAACCTTCCAGACTTCTTCCCATTCATAGGCTTAAAACACAAAAGAAATGATCTTTGTTCTGCAACTTCATTTTTTCACTTAATATTTCCTAGACAGCTTTTCATGTTAGTATATGGAGACCTATCTAGTTGTTTTTAATGGCTACTTAGTGTTTTATTATATGGATGCACCAAACTTTATTTAGCCAATCCCCAAATAATGGAAATTTATATTATTTACCACTTTGTTATTATAAACACAGTTTTAACATCTTTATATATGTATTCTCTGTGTACTTGTGAAGGTATATCTGTAGATTAATTCCTAAGAGTGAATTTGTGTATGTGCATTTTAAATGTGGGTGGATATTCCAGTCCCGTTTAATTGTCCCATTTAATTTAAAAAAATTTGCACCAATTTCAGTCTCCGTGATCGTGTATGAGAAAGCCTCCCTTCTCATTTTTAGATTAGTATATGGAGTATATTTAGAAAATATGCATTCCAAGATAAACACAGAAGTTTGTTAAAAATGTTAATGTAAACTTGGTAATAGGAGAAGGAGATTTATTTTGAAGGTTGGAGAGGCTTTAAAAATGGAAATACAGTGAAAGTAATAAATAGGAAATTACTTTTTCTTTATTTACTGACTTTTTGTCTTCAAGCTCTTAACTGGAACTTTTTTGGTCATTCTTCAAAAGTAGTAACTAGAAACACAAGAATAATTCTTGTATTCTTAAAAGATGTACAGTTTATAAATACTATCTCATGTATTTCTTTACCAATCCTGTCATCCCTGTTTATAGATGAAGAAATGGAAACATGGATACTTTTTACTTTTTGTAATTTACCTAAAATAACACAGTTGTTTCAGAATCACCTCTCAGACTCTAACCCCTATACCATAGCTGCCTTCTTACACTGTCTTTATAATAGTTTACAAATGACTAAACAGACACTAACCATACCACTACAGTTTTTATAAATTAGGAAGTAATTAGATGAATGAAATCTGTTGACAAACCTGAAAGTATTACCACTACTCATGTATACTTCTGAGTGCTTTTACCTTTTATTTTTGCTGCAAAAAAAAAAAGGGTAATTTCTTATTGGAGCTTTTGATTACTTTGTTTTTATAATTTTGCAAGTTACATATTTTTTTAATGAGTCATTAGTTGGAAAAATAAATCACAAAGAGGTGTGGAGACAAGTAAATCACATTTTATTTATAATAGTAATTTATCTTTGATTTATTATTAGTACCACTTCAACCATCTAAATTTCACTTCTGGTAAAAAATCAAATTTTTGCCGTTTAAATTCAATTTAGTAGAAGTTTTTAGCATTAGAGCATCTCAGGAGTGTTGCGAAAATATCGCTTGCCAAGTACCTTGTAAACTATAATGCATCTCTGTTAATCCATGTATTCAGAAGTACAGAGGTCAGAATCGAGAGGCATAATGACAACTCTCAATTATATAAGGTGAGAGTAACTTTACATTTGTATTAATAATTTCTTTTAAACGAGATCTGGTTTGAGATTGTAATTTGGTATCATCTTGACCAGGGGGCAAGGAGTATGTTGTTGTTCTTCAGGACTAACCAGTGAAAAAAAGGACACAACTATTTATGTTGGTAACATTTAATTCCTTGTACAGATGTTTATTTTTGGTTTTGCTTTATACTGGTCAACTATGATCAAAAACAATTGCTGTAAGAGAATGTGAAATCATGTAGAACTTCTGTTGCCAAGGTTATCGAGCAGTATGAGATCAATGTGTGAATAAGAATGGTGTAGTAATGTGCAGGTCATTATTAATGCTGTCATGGTTTAGGCACTGCCATCTTTTAAATTTCTGAAGCTTGCACAGTAATTTGCACACAGTCCTTCAATGAGACTGATTGCGGTATATAGTAAGAGGGACTGTGACTTGCATAGTTTTATTTTATTATATCAGTCTTCAGTACTTCCTTCCAAGGCAGATATTGTCAAGACAGTCTTGCTTTTAGTTTGGGATCTTTGGGGGAAAAGGG